TGCCAGGCAGGCGCTTTGCCGCTGAGCTAAATCCCCAGCCCCTTGTTATGTATATTTGCAATACATAATAGTTGCTTTCGTATTAAGCTATGCAGCCTTGAAGAACAATGAAATCAATTTGCAGGATGGAACTTGAGACATACTGTTAAGTGAAATATACACTCTTTCTACCTAGACTGTGCAAAGTACTTGAAACTTCCACATCCTTTCTTGCATACAATTCTGCTGACAGCGCTAGGCAAAATAACAGCTCTCTTTGTGTTTCGTACAAACCAGATACAGCGTCTGGCACATAATAAGCACCCGATAAATCTTTGTGCCATTGAGCAAAGCCTTGTATTTTTTCTTTACATTAGTTTATTTAACTTCTCACAGCAAGCTGTAATGGATAGGTGCAATTATTATCCTCAGTTTATAGACAAAGACTCCAAGACTGAGTGCGAGGTGGTTAGTGACAGATCAGGGATTGGAAGGTGGGGGTTGTCCAGCTCCCGAGAGCTGCTGTGGGCTGGGTCAGAGGGAGAGTCTCACCTTCACCTCACACCAGCTGTCCCCTTTCCCTCTGATCTGCTTTCATTTCCTGTCAGCTTCCGCGAAGGAGCCCAGGACACACATGCGCACTGCACTTCACAGGGGTGAGCTTGAGGTAGGGCCGTGTCTTAGTCCGCCGGCTGCGGTAACAAGGCCACAGGCTGGGGAGCCTCCATAACAGCAAAACATATTCCTTACTGTTGCTGAGACGGGGAAGTGAGAGCTCAAGGTGCTTGCAGATCTGGTGTCTGAAAAGGGTCTGCTTTGCAGATGACCTCACAGGGGAGAAAGCAAAGAAAGAAGGCCCCACATGTCCTCCTCCTTTGACAAGATCATTCCATTCACAAGGGCTCCACTCTCATCACTTAACCCCTCCAGAAGGCCGCATCTCTAATACCATCACCCTGCGGCTGAGGCTTTAGCAGATGGATTTTGGAGGAGCGTGTCATTCAGTCCGTCGCAAACCACATCAGCAAGGCTGCTTTGCTGAGTTTGGCTGAAGAACGCAGTAAACAAAGACCTAACTCTCGGGATGTCCATGGCAGTCTTGCTTTTGACCAGGAAAAAGTGGAGGAAAGCTGCCTGACAAGCTAATGAGGGATTTGTTAGATGAAATACGGCAGTCATAAAGGATACAGAGGGGATCTTCAGGTCAAGGCATGCACAGAGCAGATGCTCCCTCGGGAAACCCATACATGCACAGCAAAGAGGGGCTGGGGATTTAGCTCAGCGGCAAAAGCGCCTGCCTGGCAAGTGCAAGGTCGAGAGTTCGGTTCCTGGTACCGGAGAAAAACCAAAAAAAAAAAAAAAAAATGCACAGCAAAGAGGCCTTTGGAAGACATAAATCCCTCTCAGACAGAGGGAACAGGAAAGGGGACCCCAGCAGTAGGCTCTGGAAGCTGCACAGGGGCAGGCCGGAGCCAGCTGACTTGGCTGACCTTGATGGTGAAATCCTCCTCAGCAGAGGGGAAAGCTGAAACCAGCGCTTATTCATACAGCAGAGTCCTCCAAAGCTTTGGAACTGGCAAGAGCGGCTGCTTCTAGATTCAAGGGCAAAAGAAGGCTACAGCACAGATCTGTTTGAATAGATCCTTAGGTCGCCGCCCGCTCCCTGCTCCACTCGGGCAAACATCTGGGCTTTCTCTAGGAAATGGTCATGGTGTGGCTGGGCATGGCGGGGACAGCAGCAGATGTGAACCTGCTGTGGACACAGGTGGGCCCAGCATGCTCCCCTGGAGCCAGACCCTGACCCCCCAGCACTGGACGGCCCAGGGGGCCTCCCAGTGCAAACGGAAATGCTAGCTACTGACAGGGCAGAAAGTTTCCTGACAAAAGGCCCACAAGTTCACCTTAGAGTGAAGCTAAAGTGACACCCACAGGCTTATTTTGTTCAGTCCTTTTAGTCCTGAGCAAGCAGCTCAAGATTCCCAAGCATTTGAGGAAAGCATCTAATACACAGGGAGAGAACATAAGACATATAGAGTTTAGAAACTCTGAAGAAGAAGACAGAAGAAAACAGTTGTTTCAAGGAAGCAGTCATTCATATCTAAGAGGTAAGAGAAGCTGGTTGTGGAGATGCACACCTGTAATTCCAGCACTTGGGAGGCTGAGGCAGGAGGATTGCCACAAGTTTGAGGTCAACCTGGGCTACATAGTTCAGGGGCAGCCTGAACTATACAGCAAGACCCTGTCTCAAAAAACAAAGAAACCCAAACAAACAAAAAAAGAATTTGAGGACTATGTGGTGATGCAGACGACCTCATATGGGCTACATAGTGAGGCTATCTCAAAAATAAAAAAAGGAAAGAAGAATTGAAAATTGCAGCCGGGCGTGGTGGCACACACCTGTAATCCCAGTACTCGGGAGGCTGAGGCAGGAGGATCGTTGCGAGTTCGAGGCCAGCCTGGGCTACAAAGTGAGCTCAAGACCAGCCTGAACTGCACAGCCAGACCCTGTCTCAAAAAGACAAAAAAATAAATAAGTAAAAGAAGAATTCAAAATTGCAATAAAAGGCCGAAAGAGAAAGCTGTGGAAAAAGTAAAAAAATAAAAATAAAAAAACATCCAATTATGAAAAATAAAGCAAGCATCTCCAAACTGAAGGTGCTGGAGTGCTGGTGCAATGGATGAAATCAGAGGATTTCAGAGGATTTCATCCATGCACAGAGGACTTTTAGGGTCAAATTTCAAAACTCGAAGCAAAAATCTTAAACTCTTCCAGAGAGAGCCAAGTCGGTTCCATCCCAAGGTGCAGCAATAGCCTGGACTTCTTACGCAGGCAGCGCCTGGCCACCCCCCGGGAGAAGCGGAATTACACCGCGCTCACCTCGCCCGCCCACCTGCCCAGGAGCTCTGGCAGGACCTCCTGGGGGGTGGGCTCCGCGGAGCAGGGAGGAGAGGGGTTTGCTGTGGTGCGCGCACTGAGAGCTCAGGAGGAAGAGCAGTCCCTCTGCTCCTCGAGGCTGCGCAGGCCCGGGGGGTTGGGGCTGTATCTGGTGAGGCCTTCTCGCTGGCGCAGGCTCTCCACAGAGTCCTAGGGCAGGGCAGGGCACCAGATGCCCAGTGCTGTGTCTGAGAGACAGAAGCCACTCTGGCTTTTACTGCAGACCCGGGCCTGCGATGACCCGGAAGTGTGTTGTGTGTTACTCTGTGCATGCGTTTGTCCAGGACAGCGCAGCCCTCGAGACCTAAGCACCTCTGACAGTCCCCTCCTCCCCACGCCAGGGCTCACTGAGCCAGGGCCTGCGTACTAGGCTTCGTCCCCAGCCTATTTGCCTATTTAGAGATATGTTCTCTATTCTTTATTTAGAGATGGGTTCTCACACAACTAAGACGGTAAATTGCCCAGGCTGAGTTTGAATTTTTAATCCTCCCGCCTCTGCCTCCCGGAATGCTGGGATTACAGGTATGTGCTATTCCCTCCTCTTAAACCCTCACCGTGAGGATTACATTTCCACATACGCTCCGGTGAGGACATGGAGGCCATGGTAACCGTGCCATCCGGGACGTGAGGGTCCATGCAGGCGTGTGGTGAGGGTGTGGGGGCTGAGGCCGGAGGCAGACGCATACACCAGGCTTGTTTGGTTGGAGCAGTGCGCTCTGGAGTATTGATGCTCTGTCCCTCCCAAGCCCGCTGCCGCCATCCCGTGCAGCATTCCAAACAGTGCCTATCTGCACAGGGCTGGTCCGGGTCACAGGTTGCTGGGCCCTTTTCCTGCCCAGCGCGCTGAGGACGCTTAGCCCACCTGACAGAAGCAGCCTCTGTCACCCCACTCTGAGATCTGAGCGAGGGACACGGGGAGTCAGAAACAAGGGGACAGAGGACCCCAGGCCCTGAATGCATTGCGCTCAGTGTCCTTGTCACAGCTCTGATGTCCCCAGACCTCCCAGCAGAGACTCCCACCCACGACCTCGCTCTCTGACCAGCCTGGGCAACTTAGCGAGACCTCGTCTCAGAATAAAAATTAAAAAATAAAAAAAGACCGAGGTGTAGCTCGGTGGTAGAGTGTGTGCCTGACATGTGCTTGTCCTGGGTTCAAGCTGCAGCACTACAAAAATAAATAAACATCCCAGTATTGGGGCCCTGGCCTAGGACACCGATCTCCTGCTCAGGGGTACAACGACAGAATAAAACACAGACAAGAGATACACACTTTAGTTACAAGAGGCCCCGGGATGGTCAAAGCCCAATGATGGGCTAAGGCCCCAAGGCTCGGTGTCCTCTGCGATTGATTGGGGAGAGCTACTGGGCTGCAGGAAGCGGTGGGGGTGAACTGCTGATGCGGTCAAGGTTTAAGAGTTGAGGAACAGTGCATTTTTGGAAAAGTGCACGGGAGCAGATCAGGGTTAACTAGTAACCTGAGTGTCGGCTCGCTGCGAGGGCGGAAGGAATTTGGGTGAGCCAAAGTCCGCTTTGTCTGGCTTTGGGGCACCAGGACTTCACAGACTGTTTGGTGGGTTTGGTCCTGGCCCTTGGCCTAAGGTTTTTTGTTTTTGTTTTTTCCCCGTACCGGGAACTGAACTCAGGACCTTGCGCTTGCCAGGCAGGTGCTGTGCTTCTGAGCTAACCCCCCAGCCCTTTGATTAAATTTCTTTTTATGTGAATTTCTTTTTATTTTTAAATTTTTTTAATATGTCAGTTTATTAATATCAATTATTGCCCATTCTGAAAAAAAATATTGCCTGCTCTGCACCAACTCAGCATCCCAGTATTCAGGGGGCTGAGGCAGGAGGATCACTGCAAGTTCAAGGCCAGCCTGAACTAAATGTGGAGACCCTGTTGCAAAAAACAAAACCAAAAATAAATAAACAAATTAAACCCTAAAGAAAAGCCAGGGCACCTTCAACCCCAAGGCTGAGGTGGAGGCGACCTTTGGGGGTGGAGAGGAATCTGTGGAGAGACCACAGCACCTGGGGCTGCTTGGTAACCAGGGCGGAGGCACCCCCACATCCTTGCTGTAATCGTGTTACAGTGTGCACAAGTTTTACACACATTGCTACAGTGAGAACAAGGCAGGAAAACGCTTGTTAATGCGGAAAGAAGCTTCTGATTTATTATTGCAAGGGGAAGAAAACAAGTTACACAACCGTTTATTGCCTGAAAGTTCTTGTAAAGGAAAAGGAACCTATGCCCCTGCTTTGAAAGAACAAAGCTGTTGAAGGCGCTTCCTCTCTAGGTGATGGGAGTGGGTGGGTGAATTTTTTTCTTCTTCTTTCTTGCCTGTAGATTCTGCTGTGTATGTATGTACGTTTTAGTGTTTTGAGACAGGGTCTCACTATGTAGTTCAGGCTGGCCTTGAACTCATTATGTAGCCAGGCTGGCTTTGAACTCCTCCTGCCTTAGCTTCCTGAGTGCTGGGGTGACGGGTGTGTGTCGCCACTCCTGGCTCCTGCTTCTTTTATAGTAAGCATGGGCTACTCATGTCACAAAGCAAACACATGCGGTAGGGAAATGTGGTTCTCCAGTCACACTCGGAGCTGGGAAGCTGCCCCGCGGAAAGCAGGGAGTGAGCTGGACTTCCTCGGTGTGGTCCTGACCCCGGGCTGGTTCCCGGGGGCACGTCTCCAGGCACGGGAGCTGGGCTCAGTCCTCTGGGGTCTGGAGGAGTTGACACGGGCCAGCTGCCCAGGAGAGGCCCCCTGAGGACAGGGGGCAGAGGTGGGTTCCAGAAGGGGATCCCGGGGGATGCTGGGACCCGCCAGGTTGGGATGCATGGAGACCCCAGGGTGGGTGCAGGGTGCTCAGGCAGGAGGCGTTGTAGACAGAGCCTCAAAGGTGGGAAGTCGAGGAGTCAGCCTGTGCCAGGGCTTGGCTGGGTCCAAGCCAGTGGGTGCCAGGAGGCGGGGTGTGGCCTTGTTATCTGTGGGAGCTGCTGGGATAAGCAGGGAGCTGGGGCAGTGGCGGGGGAGGCAGAGTCAAGGCAGGCGGTGGCACGGGGCATGCACACCTGCAGTGTGGATCCTGGGGGTGGCAGCTCATGGTGCCCCACGGCGTCCCCCTCTGTGAATGGAGCCAGCTCCCTGGGAGCGGTGGCCTCAGTGTTTCTTCCGGGGCCTGACGGCAGCGGATCTGAAGACAGAAAGCCCCACTCTCCTTGGCTCCAAGCCCTGTGCCCTGGGGGGAGGCTGGGCACCGCTGCCTTCGGCACAGCTCCTTACAGAAAGGGGCGGAGGGCTGGCAGGGGAGCCAGTGTGGCCAGGCGACAGCTCCACTGGGCACAGCGGGCCCTGGGCCAGGCCACGTTACTTCTAGGGGCAGGAATACGTTCAATGTTTTTTAATCAGAAGAAAAGGATGAATCTAGCCTGCATTATACTTGACTTTTCACCAATACAGTAAAACACACACATATAAAAATGTATAATATTAAAGGATTTATGCATATATGTAGTCACACTGCAACCCTGGCTGGTCCTCAAGGAGTCTCCAGGCCACCGTGCTGCCACCCTCCTCTGTGCAGACCCTGAGGCTGGTGCGGGCTGAGGGGCACTGCCAGGCGAGCCACTGAAGGGTCGAGGACAGCAGAACAGAGCCACACCTTTGGGGATGGCGGTGAGGGTGACCCTGGCTAAGTAGGGGCCTCCATGTGTCTGAGGGCACCGCGCCCACATTATGGCTGTCATCCTCATTGATTCCCTTGACCATGCCCACTTTACAGATGAGGAGCTGGAGGCCACCAGGCCGGCCCAAGGTGCGCTGGTTGCGGTCAGGGTCCGGGCTCTGCAGGACATGCAGGGCTCCGCCGGTGAGAAGCTGCCCCTCTCCGAGCTCCGTTGTCCTATTTCACAGACTGGAGCAGAGAGCTCCCCGCCCGGGGACAGCACCGACCGCCCACTGCCGCCTCCAGCTCCCAGGCCCGGGCGGGGCGCAGGGCGGGACCGGGCGGGGTGGGGACTCAGCGCCAGAGCTCAGTGTCTTCCGGAGAGGGTGAGTAGCTGGGCCTGGAGCGCCGGCGCTCGTGCGACTCAGCCGGCGCGGGGATAGAGGGTAAACTGAGGCTGGCGCCTTGCGGCTGAGCCGCCACATCCGCGGGCGGGGCAACCGCGCGCCGGACTCGGCAGGGAACTCGGGCCCCGCGGGTGTAGACCGGGAGGGCGCCTGGGCCGGTTTGCGACGCCGGGACGGGAGAAGCCAGGCGCACAGAGGAAGCAAGCCAGGGAGGGGGCGGGAATCCCGGGCGCGGGAAGGAGGCTTGGGATTTGGGGAAACTGAGGCTGGCTCGAGTGGGGGAGCCCGGACATGCACCGCGAGATCCAGTTTCAAAGCGCGCTTCCTCTGCCTGCGCCCAGGGCGCTTTCCCAGCCAGCCGGGGTCTTGCACGGTGGCACCAGCCCTGAGGGACAGGAGCCCGGCCGGGGCAGACAGGCGGCGCCTGCTTTTCACCCTCTGCGCTTTATTTCGTTTTTGTTTTGTTTGTTTTTCTTCCGGTACCAGAAATCGAACTCAAGACCTTGCGCTTGCCAGGCAGGCGCTTTGCCGCTGAGCTAAATCCCCAGCCCTCGGTGCTTTCTTTCCACTGGTTTGAATGCTTCCTCGCGCTTCGTTTGGCTTATTTTGACCGCGCGGGCGGAGCCGCGCCGGACCGCTTTCTCTTTTAGAAAAGCGATCGCTCGTCATGAAGCAACTTCCCGCGCCCAGGGCCTCCGGGTCTTGCTGCTTGGGTTACTTTCGAAGCGAAAGAGCTCACGGATGTTGTAATGAGGTCATTTACAAAAAAAAAATGTAATCGTCCCTGGGACGCCGAGGCTTGGAGGCGGGGGAGTGGAGGGAGCGGACCAGGGAGGGCACAACTCTGTCCTGCTTCTGGGTCCCTGGCTCTAGAGGGGCTCAGAACGGGGATCCCAGACACCCCAGCCCCATTTTACGGATGGGAACGAAGGCCCAGGAGATGAGTCCCGGGTCTGGGGGGCCCGGGGCCCCACGCTCTGTGGGGCAGATTCCAGGTCCTTTGACTGGGGTGTCTAGCAGGGCCGGGACTCGGAGGCTGGGGCTTTGGCGCTGCCGGGGGCAGAGTGATGCTGTTGGCCCACGGAACCTGCTGGCGCTGGGCAGAGGTGGGTGGTGGCAGCTGCAGCCCGAGGGAGGTGACAGACTTCAAACGTTCTGTGACTGCTTCGCTCTGATTTCTTCATCTGTTCCCTGGACGAAATGGGGGAGTGGTCCTCAACCTTGACGCCGGAGGAGGCTTCTGGGCGCTCCCGCTGCCCCGCCCCTTCCTCCAGGGGGCGGGGAAGACACGCCCACCAGGCCCGGGAGGGGGCACTGTGGCTGGGGGCGTGGCCAAGCGTCTTCTTTACCTTCTGGGAGGGAGAAGCTATGGGCTGGTGAGTGGCTCTGCCCCCTGCCCGAGCCCCCAGGCGACCCCGTTCCTGGCCCTCCTGGCTCCCTGGTCCAGCCGGCCGTGCCTGGGTGACTCAGCTTGTGGGTACCCCCCTCTGTCTCCCGCTCCCCAGGCGAGTGATTCAGGAGCTGGCAGTGCCCAGGAGGCCCCAGGAAGCGCCCTGCCCTCCTCTGTCCGCGGGAGATCTCGAGCCTGCAGAATGGAAAGAGCCCCGCTTCTGGGGGAGGTGGAGAGCAAGGGCAGGAGCAGGAGCTCCTGGGGCTGCTTCTTTGCTCCCAGACCCCAGGGCCAGGCCCTTTCCTTTCTCTGTGGCTGGGAGGATACATTTTTAATATTGTATTTCGAGTGAGTTTGAGATTACGGAAGTTGCAAAAGTAGTGCCAAGGCAGGGTGTGGGGGTGCACGCCTGTAACCCCAGCTTCTCAGGAGGCTGAGGCAGGAGGACCACAGGCTGTAGCACAACTTGTGCAACTTGGCAAGACCCTGTGTCAAACAAAGAATAAAAAGGCCTGTGGCTGTAGCTCAGTGGTAGAAAGCTTGCCCAGCATGTGTGAACCCTTGGGTTCAGTCCCCAATTCCCCAAGTAGTAATGAAATGAATAATTCCCATATTTTTGAAAGTCCCCATGGATGCAACAGCCCAGGTTTCCCATTCTGCCACCCCAACTGTGTTTCATTTTTATTTCTCCTTGGTCTCAAGGCGCCTCATCCTCTTTGCCTTTGGTGACTGTGGCGTTTTGACATCTCTGGGTTTGCCCTTGGGGAGGGCACACAGGGTCACTGCGAGGAGACCTGAGGCCTCTGGGCCTCAGTATCCCTGTCCGTAGGATACGCCGGCCTCCTGCTTGCCCAGACTGGGCCATGTTCCAGGGAAGGCCTGAGGCACTGAGCAGAGCTCCGTCTGGGTCCCCAGATACTGTCGCTGCTGGCCTTTGTCACCCAGGCAGAGCAGGGCCGTGTCCCTCACAGAGGAGATGAGACCCAGGCGGCCCAGGCTGGCTTGGGGTGACATGCGGGCCCGGCTGGTGGCCTGTCTTGGGCGATGCCCCCACTGCTCTGTGCCCAAGGGGCAGATGGGCTCAGCTGGTGGAGCTGCCTGCAGGCAGGCTGAAGGACAGCATTCAGGTGAGAGCTGTGCCAGGCTGGCCGGCGGCCTTTCCTCGGGAAATGGTCCCTTCTGAGATCTGCAGCCTTGGTTAGTCTTAAACATGCAGGGCTGTGCTACCTGCTAACGTTGGGTTCACTCTGTGCTCAATTTTATGTTCTGCCTTCTTCACTTTACTGAGCGCAGTTTTCAAGTCATTGGAACGTCACCAGGGAACTTGGTGACACATGCCTGTAATCCTAGCCCTCGGGAGGCTGAGGCAGGAGGATCGCCACGAATTTGAGGCCAGCCGGGGCTACATAGCCAGACCTTGTCTCAAAACAGCAATAACAAAAAGTCCTCCAGACTGTGCTGTGGGTTTAGGGTACAGCATTTGCCCAGCACGTGCAAGGCCTGGGTTCTGTCCCTAATGCCACAAAATAAACAGAAAATAAAGACCAAAAAGTACGCACCCAATCTTTCAAAGTCCCTGCTTTTGGGCCTGGGACCACCCCTGAGAGACAGGGAGAGGGCGGGGACTCCCCATCCTCAGCTGTTTTCCCTGCACGTTGGACAGTGACCCTGGGGGGGGCACTGTCCCCCCTCAGTGCACAGGAAGGGGTGGTGGCTTTAGGGTGTCACTTTGGGGTGGGGGAAGGACACCTGTGCATAGAGACAGCGCCTGATACTGTGGCCTGGGCTGGGCCCAAGGCAGGCAGCTTCGATATCCCATTCAACGGAGGGGGAAACTGAGGCTCAGAGAGTTGTTTGGAGTCAGAGCAGTTTGGTGGGGAACAGGGGTTTGAGTGAGCCAAGTTCTGAATGAATGAATGAATGAGGAACTGGAGGGCTAGAACATAAGACACAGGCCTCGCTGGATGCAGCAGACACACCTGTAATCCCAGTACTCGGGAGGCTGAGGCAGGAGGATGTTGGGTTCAAGGCCAGCCTGGGCAATTTAGTGAGTCCCTGTCTCAAAATAAAATTAAAAAGAGCTGGGAGTGTAGCTCAGAGGGTTCCGGAGGCTGGCACTTGGCCTGGGGAGGTCGAGCTGGAAGCAGCCTGGTGGCAGGGACCGCACTGTTGATCCGTTCTGGTGATAGGACGCGGGATGCTGACAGTGACAGCAGGCTGACCCAGGGTCCTCGGGATGGGCCCTCACCCGGCCCTCTGTTCTCTTCCAGAGCTTCTGAAACAGCAGCCATGGCTCCACCCTGGGTGCCTGCCGTGGGCCTCACGCTCGTGCCCAGCCTGGGGGGCTTCGTGGGCGCCTACTTTGTCCGCGGCGAGAGCCTCCGCTGGTATGCCACCCTGCAGAAGCCCTCGTGGCACCCGCCGCGCTGGGCGCTGGCTCCCATCTGGGGCACGCTGTACTCGGCCATGGGGTAGGTGCCCGTCCCGGGCAGGCGCAGGGCCCATGGCAGAGGGCAGCGGGGCAGGGATGGCACCGTTCCCAGCCCGGGAGGAGGCCTGCGTGTTGCACAACCAAACTTTCCTCTCCTGAGCCTTTTGGGAGCAGCCCGGGGCGCATCCACCCCACTGCCCTGCCGGCTTGGCAGGGTAAAGGTCGCCCCCTTGGGGTCCCCCTCCGAGATGGACCCAGGCTGTGGCAACTGTGCCAGACTTATCATGCCTGAGTTTTAAGAGTCCCTTGTTTGACAAGGGACCCTGCAAGGACATAGGCTAGCAAGTGGGGAGCCCCAAGGACTTCCCCCCAAACCTGGAATCAGAGTCCCCGATGACAAGCTGTGCTGGGGGAGGGCGGCCCCTGCTCGGTGCAGTGAGGACTGCACCCAGGGTGAGCTCGGTGGTCAGCACCCACTTGCTTCCAGGATGGGTCTGTAGGCGCCAGGCATCCCAGGCAGCTGGCAGCGGCCAGGCCGGGTCTGAGGGTGTCACTGGGCCCGACCTGCAGCCCTTCACATTTCCCAGGCCCCATGTTGACTCCATCCTGGCACTGGATCTCCAGCACTAGGCCCTGCCGGTCCCGGCTGGCCCCGTCCTTCTGCTGGGGCCTGGTGGCCCTGGATGCTGACACAGGGTCTCACACCCACCTCTGAGCCTTTGGTTATCCAGGGAAAGGAATTTCCCTGGCAAACTCCTACTCAGCCACTCAGCCCAAATGCCCCTCCTCTGTGCAGAAGCCCTGGCTTTATCCACATGGCCTGTGTGCCTCCCTCTTCATAGTGCAACAATAACACTGGCAAAGATTTATTGCATGTCCTGTGTGCCAGGAGCCATGCTAAGCTCTGCCAGTGTGTCAGCTCCAGTCTGCACAGCAATCCTATGAGAAATAAAGGCCCAGCGAGGTATAGCCGTTCTCCTGAGGTCACACAGCATTCACTGGCAGGGGCGCAGGTGGGTGAGGCTTCCAGCCTGGTACTGGTACTGTCCTGATCAGTGGCCTTTGTTCCAGGTATGGATCCTACATGGTCTGGAAGGAGCTGGGGGGCTTCACAGAGGAGGCCGTGGCTCCCTTGGGCTTCTATGCTGGGCAGCTGGCCCTGAACTGGGCGTGGCCCCCCATCTTCTTTGGCGCCCGGCAGATGGGTTGGGTAAGTGTGGCCCTGTGATCTTCTGGTCCTCAGGGAACCCTTGCAGGATGTGGGGCAGTGCATCTCAGACAGAAGCAGCATCCGCAGGTGGGGCAGTGGCTGTTACTAAATTTCCCAGGCTGGGCTGGAACTTGTGATCCTCCTGCCTCAGCCTCCCAGACTGCTGGGATTACTGGCATGTGCCACTGTACCCAGGAACACTTGACAGTTTACAGCCAGGCTGTTGGGGGTTGCAGAGCTGGAGGGAGGTCAGGACCAGGCTCCTGGATGTTCCGTGTCCCCCTCAGCACAGCCCACACCTGGCGCAGATCAGGCAGGAGTGATGCCCCCATTTTATAGCCAGGGAAACTGAGGCTGAGAATGCGCTCAAGGGAGGAGGTGGCTGGAACTGTGGGTGCAGCCTCAGCCTCCCTGTCCCGTGTCTCCACAGGCCCTGGTGGACCTCCTGCTCGTCAGCGGGGGAGCAACGGTCACGGCTGTGGCCTGGCACCGCGTGAGCCCGCCGGCTGCCCGCCTGCTGTACCCGTACCTGGCCTGGCTGGCCTTTGCGACGCTGCTCAACTACCGTGTGTGGCAGGATAACCGCGGCCGCCGTGGTGGCCGGCAGAGCCAGGAGTGAGAGGCCCCGGCCTGCTGAGGACTGTGGCCGGGGCCAGGCAGGTGCCGTGGTGGCGGTGGCCCCCGGGCCTGATGGGGACGCGGCCTGGGCTCAGCAGCGGTGGAGAGGTGGCCCAGGCTGAGCCCCGCGGAGGAGTGGTGTCCTATCCTTCCATGTCGCTCGGAGCCAGCTCTTGGGTACTGTTTTTTACAGCTGAATAAAACCCCAACCTCCCGTATGGCCGTCTCTGTGGCTGGACAGGGCTGCGGCCGTGCAGGGCACCCGGGACGGATCGTCCAGATGGGACTGACCCTGCCGCACTTCTGTAGGGTGCTGGGACCAGGGGACGCGGTGCTGTGCCCTTCTGACCGCTTCCAGAGCTCCCAGCCCAGTGTCTCTGGCTGGCCCCAGGAGGGCCCTCAGCTGGTCTTGCCAGGACAGAGCTGGGGACACCAGCTAGCCTCCTGGGTACCAGTGTCTCTCCCCTGAGGGCCAGCCCCAAGCCCCATAGCCCAGACCCACCCAGATTTAGGGTGTCACCCCAAGCGCCAGGCTTCCAAATGTGTCCTGGGCCTTCGCTGCTTGCTGGACACTGAACGTAGGACAGTGCCCTGCGGACCCTAGGGCTCCTCAGCGGTGCTCGTCTCCCCGTGCAATGCTTGGCAGGGCTCGCCCTCCTGCTGGCTTCCCTGGAGATGGGAGGAGCTTTTGCCCAGTTCGCTGCAGCCAGCACCCGCTCCGTTACCGACTAGGTTGTGACAACTTCACGCTGCTGCTGAGGGAGGCACAGCCATGTGCCGAGTCCCTCTGCGCGCCCGCCATGAGCACATCGCTCAGCACAGGCTGCAGGGGCCTGTGCCACTGCCCCCTTCCGGAGGTGTTGGGCTGCAGCAGGCCATTCACACAGAATGCTCAGCCAGCAGATGGTGCTGCTTGTCCGTAACTCCACCTACCTGGGATGCTGAGGCAGGAGGATCACAAGTTCAAGAGCAGCCTGGATTACTCAGTGAAGCCCTGCTTTAAAACTAAGAGGGCTGGGGCTGGGGATTTAGCTCACAGGCACAGCGCCTGCCTGGCAAGTGCAAGGTCATGAGTTCGATTCCTGGTACTGGAAAAAAACAAACAAAAAAAAACCAAAGAAAAAAAATAAAAAAAAATAAAACTAAGAGGACTGAGGGTCTAGCTCAGTGGCACAGCACTTGCCTGGCACACTTGAGGCCCCGGCTGTGATGCCCGGCACCCTTCCCCTGCAAGCAGGAGGGCTCAGCAGGCTGGACATCAATGGGAAGCCACAGCAACAGTCTACCAAGCACCTGAGCTTCGTGGCTGGCCACTCTGGGCTGGGCCCGTCCAGTGCTGGTTCTGCCACTCAGTGCCTGAGACACAGCTGTCACCACTGGGCTTATCTGTGTGGCCAGAGCATCGCTGAGGACACTTTGCAAATGCCACCCTGGGGACTTCCTCTGCACCGCCCAGCCTGGGCACATCCTGCCTCCTGAGCAATTCCTACAGCAGGGCCAGAGATGGAGGCACCCAGGAGGCAGTCAGTGCAACAGGGGCCATCTCCAATGCTCCAATGCTACTGCCTGGCCATGTCCACGCACCTGAGTAGAGGGAGTTAGAAGCAGAGACGCCACACTAATTTACGAGGGAAGGCACCCGTTTTAGGTGAGCAAGCACGCACCTCTCCCAGGCTTCCAGACAGACAACCTGGCTTTGAGGTCCAGCCTCTGGGGGCTGTGGTGTCGTCTGAGTTTAAACTCCCAGCCAGCAGGTGGTGCCACTGCACCCCACGCTATCCCCACCCGGTCCGCCACTGAGCCCTCTGCTTGCTGGGAGCTGGGGTCTCACTGCCTCCACGCCCAGGACAAGCAGAGAACCCCAGCCCCCGGCCCCCAGGCCCGAGTGTGGAGCCAGGATGGGCACGCTCTGTCGCTGCGCCGTGACTCCACGGACTGGGTCCAGTGCTTGGAAACCCAGTGGGGTGGGGGCTCAGAGGCCCGGGCCCTCCCCTAGGACGGCTTCGTCTGCACTGGGCGACAGGGCTGCCCCCGCTGCTGGCTCCGTGCTTCTGCGGCGCAGGAGGAAGAGGCAGAGGCAAAAGTCTTGACTTTATTGCGGTATAAACCCAGCAAGGCCCTGGAGGCCGGGCAGCCAGGCCCGGTGGGCTGGGTGGAGCAGAGGGCGGTGCCCGCCAAGGGGCCCAACAGCAGTCCAGCTCTGCTGCGGGAAGGGCTGGTTTTAGCTTCAAAAACGAAACCTTCGCCATACTTTCTCCCCCGTGCAGGGGAGGCTTTGGAAGCAGCTCCAGCCACAGGGGGTCCGTGCCCCCAACACGAGGTGCACTGCAGCCTCACAAAACGCAAAATTAGGAAATAACTGAAATTTTACATTTTCATCCCATAAATGAAAAAAAATCACAACCCAACGTTCGGACCCTAGCCCTCTGGAGAAGACTCACGGCTCTGCTTGGAGTCGCAGCAGCACACACGCAGGCCCAGCCCCTCGTCCTGTCCCCGGGGCCCCGTCCATCTCAAGAGGTGGGCAGACCTGACCAGCGAGGTGTGTAAGCAAGGAGTCAGGCCCAGGGACAGAGGGGACCTTCGTGGGCCCCGCCCACAGGCACAGCCTTCCCGCCAGAGCTGCGGGGTTTTGCTGGTGACTGCTCTGGCACGGGTGGCCAGGGCCGAAGGCTGAGGTGGCAGGCAGGCCCCCCAGGCGGCTCTGGGCTGTCACGCAGCTCTGCAGGCGCAGACAGAAGCGCCACCCGGGAGCCCTGCAAGAGCAGACTGGACAAGAGCCTCACACTTCCCCAGGGAAGCCAGTCTCTAGGGAGCCCCTCTCCGCTAAGACCTCTGGAACGAGGCGGCTGCGGACAAGTGCTCAGAGACAGGGCCGCTCCTCAATGCAGAGGGCAGTGGGGGAGGCTCCGTGGCCCTGGGGTGTGGTGGACACCGTGGTCCCAAAGGGTGAGGGTTTGGATCGAGGGCTGAGGCTGCCTCCGGGTGGCAGGAAAGGAGCTCCGCAGAAGCAGCGTGGAGGGCGAGGCTGGAAGGGCATCTCGGCCTAGACAAGGCGCGTGACGTGGCAGTCGTCAGGCTGGTCCAGGAACAAGGTGCTGAAGACGTCGTTGAAGAAGGAGGGGTGGTACCTGCAGGCGCGCTCGCAGTCGGGGTTGAAGTTCACCTCCAGGATCTGTGGCTGCATTGCTCGAGACCCTGGGCAGAGCGGAGCAGGCAGTGGCAGCGGGCTGGGGGTCCCCGCACTCAAGCACAGCGGAGGCCGTGCCATTACAAGCTCAGCGTTCGCCTTGTCACAGAGGTGGCGGGGGCGGCACTGGCCAGGGCTGTGTGGGGCAGTGTTTCCACTCGGCCCCCTGGGGGCTCCCCGCCACCTCCCTCTACCCTGGGTGGCAGGCAAAGGGCACCCCGAGTGGCGCTGATGGGGCGGGGGCAGAGTGGGTGTCGAGCGGGAGGATGGGGGAGCCCCTCACCATCTGGGCGGGTGTCCCACTTCAGCATGAGGTCCACAGCGTACACGGCCCGGGACGAGGGGTAGTCGCAGAGGCCCAGGGGCGGCGGCTTGGCACACGCCACCTGGAACAGCTCCGTGAAGGCCCGGAAGATCTCCGCCTGGGCAGGGGCAGCTGAGTCAGGGGCCTGCCTGGCCCAGAGGCTGACACTGGACCCCCCGGAGCAGCCTCCTAAGACAGGTTTCGGGCTTCTGCCTGAGCCCTGCCCTCGAACGGCCCTGCACCTGTTCCTGACCACCCGTCTGACCTCGGCCCCTCATTTCTGGAGTTGGGGGTGGAACCCAGCGTCCCTGCCCACTGGGCAACTGCTCTGCCTCAGCCGTGCCCGAGCCCTGGCATCACTCCTGAGACTGCCTATCTCCCACCCTGGCACCCTGGCTGCTCGGCCCGCGACCCAGATGCCCGTCTGCTCTCCCGTGGGCTGCGATTCCCAGGGCCGGGGGGGGGGGCTGCTGTCCGCTGGCTGTCCCAGCGGTGCCCAACATGTCACCCTCCTGCTGAGGAACCCCCACAGTGCCCCACACAAGGGAATTCCCTTCCCTGAGTGGAGGGGAAGCTCTTGGCTTGACCGGTGTCCCCCCGGGGGGCACCCAGAGAAGGCAGAGAGCCCGGTCAGCTGGGAGGGCAGGGGTGGCTGCTGCAGGGAGCCAGCCTGGTCCCCAGCCCTGGGGCGCTCAGGACTCACCTGCACGCCGCTCCAGGGGAACTCCGGGTACTGCTTCTCAAACTCGGGGATGAACTCGTCACAGTGCACCTGTAAGACACGAGGCACACACGCTCTGCCGGGGCCTCCGCCGGCCAGGAGGACAGGCCTAGGCCTGCTGTGACCCCAAGCCGTGGACACACGCTGGGTTTGGCGTCCAGCCCTGGGCCTTCAGGGTACAAACGGGCAGGAGACTGGGTTAAACGCTGGATCTGTTGTACTGGACAAGCAGAATCACCCCTCTGAGCCTCAGTTTTCTCCTCTGCGAAACCTCTGGAAACCTTCCTGAGCGGTACACTGCAGGCTCACCTGAGGCCCTGAGTGCCAATCTGGAAGGCTGCCAGGCCAGGATCCGTGTGCCCAGCCCGGAATGGGCACTGCGCTGCACTGATCTCAAAGTGTCAAAAGGACAGCAAGATTCTCCAGGCCAAGACCTCACCCAACACACACTGAGGAAACTAGCTTGCGTTTTCTGAGAGGAAGGGTCGGCTGGGCCCGGTGAAAGCCCTGCGTCCAGGCCCTGCAGGACGTGTGTCCTCGCCCACAGGCTTCCCAGACACCACATGCAGAGGGAAGGGGGTCAGCACCCTCTGGGGTGACTTCCATGTCCTGGGGCACAGCCATAGATGAGGGACACAGTCCCTGCCAGGTGTGTGCCAGCCCGGCCACTCTGATGCGGCACCTCTCTTTGTAGGACTCCTCCAGGATAAGACAATGAATCCAAAAATATGGTGCTCAGTCACACAGATCTGTGTAAATGCCCCCTGGGGACGCAGCGTGTAGGCTGTTCAGGCACTCCCTTTGCCTTTGAGAATCCAGCCACACCGGGGACCGATCCACACACAGCAGAGGGCCTGCTTCACTTCCTGATGGCCCGAAACACTTGCTGACCGGACGGCACGGTGCGCAGGACTTTTGGACGAGTGCAGCAGCCTGCTACTCCCCCTTGGGGATGCAGAGCTGGCCCCGGCCCTCGTGCAGGCTCCTGCAGGTCCCCAGCGTGCCGCTGTGGCTCTGGTGACGCCTTGGCTGGGAACGGGCTTTGCCTGATGCCTGACTTAGCTCTGCCATGGAGACAGCAGTGCCAGCCCTCACTAAGCGCCTGCAGTGGGCACTGCTGGGCACCGTGTGCCAGGAGGTGACTGACACGTAGGCAACTCCAGGTCCAGGTGGCTCCTCACCTGTCCCTGTGCTCACAGGTGCTGCAGGGACAGGAACCCGTTTTCCCAGGGGACCCCTTTGCTCTGAACCTTTGACCTTCCTCATACCCGGGGACTGTGCCCCCATGACCACCACGGTGCCCTCTTTAGCACCATGAGGACTCTGAGGACACAGGACCTGGGCCTGGTGAGTCACACCCGCATCAAACACTGCCTCTGACAGCCAGGACTTGGAAGCTGAGCCTGGGCCCCATCAGGGCCCACCTGCTTTAGCACCACATCCGGGTCATAGTTCATGACGGTGAAATGCTTCTCGTAGTCATCCAGGTCTTTGAGCTCGAAGGGTCTGGAGTGTGACAGGGAGACACAGAGGTGCCCGTGGGCTCCGGGGCTCCACGCACCACAGCTGCCCACAGAGAGTCTTCCCACTGCCCCAGCCCCTGGGCCCTCGAGTTGGGGTGAGCTGAGCTGGGCGCTAACTGTGAGGATCCCCTGCGGCCCACGAAATGCCCGTGATTCTCACGTGGCGATGCCTGCCGCACAGAAGCCGCGCACGCTGCAGCGCAGGCCCCGGCTCCTGGAGGGGCCCAGCGGGGGCGGGGGGGGTCACCACTGAACTCCCAGGGGTCGCAGGGCAGACTCCCGCGCAGCCTGCCTGACCCCACGAGCAAGGAGGCCCCGCCCCCGCCCCAGGGACCCCTCTGCGCCCAGGTACCGGTTGGAGAAGCGCAGCCAGAACACGTCATATGTGAAGATCCTCAGCGGCTTCACCGAGCGCAGCAGCACGATGTAGCGGACGTCGAACTTGACGCTGCCCACGTCTTCTCGGAGGAACAAGACGGGTCTCTCGATGTACTTGGACACGACCTGGAGGGCAGAGGCGGGCTCAGCGGCAGCTCCCCGCCTGGTGCGCTGGGCCCCACCAGAGGGGCTCTTGCACCTGCACCCCCAGAGGGACCCTGGGCCCGGCGCCAACCGTCTAGGTGGCTACAAGTTCCTTACACACATCTTCATGTTAACTGATGACAAAAATCCCATCAGTCTTCAGGTTTTGAAAACAGAACACAGTCTCACCCCTGACCTGTCCAGGCCCATCTCCTGCCCTGGACACCCCCAGTGACGTCCAGGCGGTCTCTTTCCTTCCAGTTCCTGCCACGTGTGTGTCCCCTGCAGGAGCCATGGCCAGCTGCATTTTGTGCCTTCTGATCTCCCACCTGATTTGGGGCGGCCCACCACCGTGGGGCCATCGTCCTAGGCCTCGGGCTGGGTCTGGCCTGGCCCTCCTGCCGGGGACCCTGAGGTCAGACACGCTGAGATGGTTCTGGGCGGGGCTCCACTGTTCTTACCCGACTATCACAACGGCCCCCTGCAGCAGTGCAGGGGAAGGCTGGGCTCTGCCCCTAGTTCCCACTGAGTGACCTGAGCCACGGCTGACCCTCCCTGTGGAGGATGACCTTGAGGTCTGTCCTTGAAGGAGAAGCAGTCATCTCCACTGTGGCTGAACCTGGCCCTATTCCACGTAGTGATGTGTACAGGGCTGGCTAGGACTTCTCATCCCCTCACCTGGCTGTAAGCAATGCGTATCAGGCCAGCCGAGGTGCTGATATGTAGTCTCTGATGCAAGGTGACAGGACAGTGTTTCCCTGGCCCCCATAGCTCCCAAAAAGCATGTGTGAGCCAGGCAGGACAGCCAGCCATGCTCCACATCAAGCCTTGAGATGACTTCCCAGGGCATAGAAGATGACACATCATGGTACACGCCTGTAATCCCAGTACTCAGGAGGCTGAGGCAGGGGGACTGCTGCAAGTTTGAGACCAGCCAGGGCTACAAAGTGAGCTCAGGGCCAGCCTGAACTGCACAGTGAAACTTTAGTCTCAAAAAGACAAAAAAAACCCAAAGATTTACACATCAGAGTGGAAGCACCAACCCCCAAACATTAAATATTACCTTGAACTGTGTTATGCAGATTATCTTTCTGCGTATCTTTCTCTCTGCATATTGCAGAGGTGATTTCAGGTCTACCTAGCCCAGCTCACAGCACCTATTTCCCGCCATTCTCACAGTCACTCATCCTCAAGCCACTCCTTTCTTCACAAATTAATAAAACCCGGGTTTGGCCCTGGGTCGAGGCCTTCATTCTGGTTAGCCACCATCCTAGCTGGACTTAGGATCCCTTGGTCCCCCACAACTGCAAGTATGTCTTAGCATCTTTATTCTCACCATGCATTGCACTGGAAGTGGTAGCTTGGAACTAACTTACTGGAATTCCAGTAACTTTCCCATGGGAAATATAAACCGCCTGGAAAACAGGAAGGGCTCTCCACACCTCCTCAGGTCTTGACACCGGGTGCCCCTGGGCCCCTCTCTGTGCAGGGCTGAGGCCCACCTTGGGGGTGCTCTCCCGGTGCCGGATGATGCTGTGCAGGCTCCTGGTGACGTGCATGTCGAGGCTGCGGGCCAGGTTCCAGGGCTTGCAGATCCAGTGATTGTCCTCGCCCCTGGGAGACGGGGCTGTCAGCCAGGCTGCTCCCTGGGGCCTGCCCGCCAGCAATGGGGCCCAGGACCCTGGCCGCAGAGAGGCAGCCATCGCCCCGGGGACTGAGGTGCTGTGAAGGGGTTGGGCCTTGGGGACAGGGAGGCATATCCTAGGGGCCGTGGCAGGGACCGTGACTGTGTGGGGCAGAAGCGCCTCATATCCCTAAGGGCAGGAGAGTGACAGGACACCCTAGGGTCCCTGCTGGCCTGGCTGGGAGGGGCCTTACCGCCTCTCCCGCTGCTGGAAGTAGCTGATGAACTGCGGCAGCTCAGTACGCAGGTTGAAGGTGCGCGGCAGCCAGGCAGGGCCCTCTGGACCCCCGGCCCGGCGCGCGATGGAGGCCAGGCAGTCCTTCACCGTGAGCAGGTTCTCGCAGGGGAACTGGTTCAGCAGCACGCCCGGCCTCTCCTGGCTGAGCTTCCTGTGGCACAGGCAGGCGTGGGGGGCTCAGAGGGAGGCCCAGGCCCTGGGCTGGGTGTGGGGTCCCTGTAGGCCAGGAGGTGCCCCACCTGTAGTCCTTGAAGTGCGAGAAGTGGTAGAGGATGTCGGCCTCCGCCTCGCTCGCAGTGAAGGTGAAGCGCGGGTGTGTGAGGTGGCCCAGCACCTGCTGCACGTCCGAGTGGACCCTGCGGGCCGTGGAGAGCGGGCTGAGCGGCTGGGCCCGCGTCCTCTGCCCTTCCACCCCACCTCACATCTGTCGCCAGGACAGCGCAGGAAGCTTAGGTGTTTACTGAACGCTGGTTCTTCCCTTCCGCACTCGCCAGGAACTCAGCCCTCCCGGCCAGCTATCGCAGATGGGGTGAACGTGAAGGCAGGAGCGGCAGGGGTACAAGAGCTGGGCAGGCTGGGCGCTGCCTGGCTGGGTGGGCCTGTTCCAAGCGGTTAAGTTGCTGAGCGACGGTGGAGCCTGACTGTGAGTGGAAGATCGTGGACGGCCTCCAGGTAGCCTCTGCCCCAGGAGAGGTGAAGGACAGGCCGGGGTCCCAGCCGAACTGCGTCTCGAGAAAGGGCCCAGAGGCTGCCTGGACTGGACTAGGCTCGGGTGGCTGCGCAGGGTGTCTAGGGGCCTCCAGGACGGGACTCCCCTAAAGGCAGAGGCTTGACCCAGTCCCAGGGAGGGGGCCAGGCTCAGCACTGGATGGGCGTGGCTGTCTGCACCTCCACTCTCTCCTGCAGAACAGAGGGGCTGCAGGGTACGGCCTGGGCTGCTGCACCCCCAGGCTCCGGGAAGGGCCCCTAGGAGGGGCCAGCAAGGCTACCGCCAGCTCGGGCCCCACAGTCAGGGGAGCAGCCCGTGTTCTCATTTCCAGAACCAAGGGGCTGAGGTGCCAGGGCGCGGCAGCAGACACTTGTGCCTGAGTCCTCCGCCCACCACCATCGGGTCGGAGGCCTGCTCCTGCTTCTGACTTTCCGGTTGAGTTTAACACCTGCCTCCTTCAGGGGCCCAGCTCACCACCCTCTCCCTGCTGGTCCACTGAGGTGCCCCGTGTTTGCGCCAGGCTCTGCTTGGGCGCCAGGAGCACAGAGAGTGCAGAGGCGGCGGCGGAGGCCTGGCCCAAGCTGTGTACCTGAAGACGTGATCTTGAGCGTGGGGCACTGGGCTGATGGCAAGAGGCAGCTTCTCCCTGTTCTCCTCCAGAATGGCCTAGAAGGAAACACGCCAAGGTAGATGGAGGCTCGAGGACTTGCGCCTCCCAGCTCCATCCCCGTGGGCAAGCCTTGGCAGCTGCCACTCCCAGCACCCACCAGCCCCTGGGGCCCTGGGCTCGAGGCCCCACAGGCACCCACAGGCACGGAATGGCTCTCCATTGGCGTCCAGAGACCAACGTTCACTTTGCCCTCTGTCTTCTCAGTGTCACTGCAGAACCATGGGAAGGCGGCGGGAGGGGCAGCCTATCCCTGAGGGGCTGCTCCCAGCCTGAGCTGTGCGGTGCGTTAAAGCCCAGCCTCGCAGAGCAGAGCTCAGTCCAGCCTGGTGGGTGGGCTGGGCCAGCGGAGCCGCTGCGGGTGCCTGACACTGGGGCGGTGACAGTGGGCAGTTCCAGAGGCCTGCGCTTCCTCCTTGCCTTCTCTCGGAGCACTCCTTCCGGGAAAGGCGGCCCTCTGCCAGGACACTCGGTGGCCCACGGAGTGTCCCACACCAAGAGCGGAGGGCTCTGCCAAGGGCGGCTCCGACTCACCAGGCACAGGAGCGGGCACGGAGGCCCTGGAGGGCAGCCTGCGGGGACCTGACAGCGCTGGCTGGGGCTCAGCAGGACACGGTGAGGTGCGCCATGCTGCTTCCCGCAGCTGCTAAGCTCTGGAGTTGTCTGCTGCGGCCACAGCTGAACAGCATAGGGGACGCCAGGGCCCCGAGCGCAGGCCTCGTTCCACTGGCCAGGTGGGGGAACAAGGACACTGCAGATTAAGTGTCCGACGCCCACCTCCGCCCGTGTGGCGAAGGGCGTCCAGGGTTCCAGGGACAAACAGCCTCGAGGCCAGGATGCAAAGTCACCCAAGCACTGGGCCTGAGCCCTCCAGCTGCAGCTCAAGGATCCGTAAGCGCCCACCTGTGGGCACAGGCGCAGGGAGGCTGAGCCCACCTCTGCACTGTGGCAGGGAGGAGCTGTGGGACAGAGCTCCAAGACAGCTAACCGGCTCCAGTCCCTCGGCACCTTCCTGGGCCCACGGACAGCACCAGACGCTGCCTGTCCCGGCCATGCAGCCTCATACACAGGGTGCAGGGCTTGTGCCTCTGCCATGGAGCTACTCTGTGCCTTGGTTTTAGACTCTAGCTCTCCTACCAGCTGTGTGACCTCTGCTGTGTCACTTAACCTCTCTGTGCCTATCTGCTCGTCCTTAGTCAAATGAACATAAGAACAGAAGTGTAAAGTGTTGAATAGGAGAGCATGCTCCTACCTCCACCCCAGCCTGCCTGGCGCCTCACAGACCCTACCGGGAGGTCCCTGTCAACACAACCTGTGTTTACTCTCACCACCAGCCAGGCCCTTCCAACCAGGAGGGGCTGGAACTCAGCTCTCAGCACTGATGAGGGCTCCCGGCCAGGGCCTGCCGTGTGCTGGGCAATGTTTCACACACGTGCGACATACATCGGCCTCCATATCCAGAGTCCACAACCTTGGATTCCACCAACAGAGGTAAAAAATGTTTACAAATAAAGCATCTGCGCCAAATGCATACAGACTCTTGCGTGTCGCTGTCATACAATGCACTGTAAGGATTTGCAGTCTCTTAGCTGCGTGTGGGATTCCATAAGCAGTCAGTGATGGCGTAAAGTATTCGGGTAGACGTGTGTGGACCTTATGAGGACACTGCACTATTTCCACGAGGGATTTGAGCACCTCAAGAATTTGGTATCCATGAGGGGCCTGGGGCTGGTTCCCTGTAGATATTGCGGACTACTGTAGGGTCAAGAGCACCACCGTGCAGCCCGACCCTGGCAAGACCAAGTCCCAGCTCCTGGCGCCACGGGACCCGGATCAGGACTGGGTCCAGGCTGTGCGGGGCCGGGCAGCTCCTGCCTGCACCCTGAGCTCTTGGTTGCTCCCTGGACACTGCCCACCTCCCCCGATAACCAGCTCAGGGCCTGGCCTCCGGCTGGCGTCCACTCTCATTTAATGACCAGAGAACGTTTCAGAAGCACTAAGCAAGTAGGGTGGAGGCCGAGGCGGGGCCACACCTGGTAGTACTCAGCGGGCGGCTCGGGCGTGGAGGAGCTGAGGTCCAGCATGTCGGCGGGGGCCCAGGGCAGCAGCATGCATTTCCGGATCAGCGGGTCTGCCTCTCCGTAGGCAAAGTCCCGGGTCACCTCCTCTGCACCAAGATACGCGTGCCCGTCAGCGGTTGCGCGAGAGGCCTCCGAGGCCCATCCTCTGGGCAGGCGGGGGGGTGCCAGACTTACCGCCTGTGTCCAGGTCCCTCAGGGGCCACAGCAGCGTGTACGCCACCCTCTGCGGCATGTAGAAGAACGGCGCCGTGGCGAAGCTGGGCTCGTCCGCGTGCTGGATCCTCGAGCCAAACTCGTCCATGATGTACCACACCGGCACCTTCTCCTCGGCTGTCTGCGGGCGGGCACAGCGGCAGCCCTCGTCCACGTGTCCCCTGCCCCTGCCCGCCCCTGCACTCCTTTCCTTGCGCCCCACGCCAAGCCCACGTCCACCCTGGCACAGAGGAAGCGCAGGCGTGTACATCAGTTATGGCTCCTCCCCTGCACCCAACGTCTAACCGGCCTGGGGACTGCTGGGCAGGGCCGTGTGAGCACTGAGGCCAGGTGTGTAACGGCGCCTGGCAAGCAGGCCACCGCCAGCACCGACACGCATGTGTCTGGGCCTGTGGGTGAGGTGAGTCCTGGAGGACCCCTGCAGGTGGCGCCGAAGCTGAACCATGGGAAGCAAGCACGTCTGTTCCCAGGCTGGGCCTGGCGAGGAGCACGGTGGGAGGCCTGCGGGGTGCAGGTCTGTGTGGAGGCCCGAGGCCATGCTGACGGGCTGGCTGTCTTAAGGGTGGCGAGGACCACCGCACGACAGGATTAGAGGAGCCAGGGCCGAGGCAGCCGGCTGCGTGGGTCTGAGAGGGCTGTGCCCTGGGAACTCGAGGGCTGGGGGGCACCTGGGTCCCCACCCCGATCAGGCCCCGGGGAACACAGGTTGTTCCTGGGCGCGTGGCAGCGGCTCACCCCATGGGCCAGCTGGTAGGTCTGGTTGAACTTCCACATCTCTTCCAGCACCTGCGCCACCGCCTCTTCGCTGGGCAGCTCGCCGTGGAACTCGATGCCCATCAGGTTGGCCATGCGGTGCAGCAGCCCCGGCACCTGCAGCAGCTGCTGGCGTGCGTGCTCTACGCGGCACGTCCAGGCGTGGTCGATGAGGAAGATGCTGCAGGCACAGGCCACACATGAGCTGCCACGCAGGCATGGCAGACAGGGAAAGGGGGAGGAGGGGGGCCAGAGGGCAGAAGATGCCAGGGCTGCAACCAGGCCTCTGCACCCTACCCCTCTGCACCCGTTTCCCTAGCATCGTAACTGTGCACAGTCCTGGAACCCAGCAGGCAGGGCCAGGACCCCAGCTCTGCTGCCCTCAGCCAGGGTGCGTCCCTGAGGAAGCACTTCTTCCTCTGATCTCTACAGTGAGGCAACCAGGGTCCCTGCCTCCCGACAGCAGGAGCATCGATCACACGGGTCCAAGGATCCAGGACGCTGACCATGCTGAGCACTGTGATAAACAGCAGCTGTCACTGACGTTAAGGGAAGCCCAGGCCCGTGCCGCCTTCCTGCTCCTCACAGGCCCTGCGCTCCTTGAACTCCACACACCGGGGGAGGCTGCACAGCCTCACACACGCACGTCCATGACTTCTGGACCAGGGCTCTGCTATGGTTTATATTCAGACGTCCCCTCAAAGCCTCTTCAGGACGTGACTGGATCATGGGGTGTGATACTCATTAACGGATGAGTCCATGGATGAGTTTACAGCTGAGTGTGAGGCTAGGAGGTGAAGCCTGGTGGGAGGCAGGTCCGGGGGCCATGGGTCACAGGGGCGTGGCCCGGAAGCCTTCACTCTCTCCTCCTCCCTTGATCTCTCTGCTCTGCTGCCATGCCATAAACAGGCCTCCTCCACTATGCTGCCCTGCCTTGCAGACAGACAACCACGGACTGAGCCCTCTATAAACCATGAGCCAAAATAAAACTCTTCAAGTTGTGTGTGTCGGGTATTGTATCTCACAAATGAGAAAGTAGTAAGACAGGCACACAGCTTCAGCATGTACCTAAAGCATGGTAGGGGGCCTGAGGCTGGGCTCCCTCTCACCCCAGGATGGAGTGGGCCGGGCTCCAGCACGTGGACAGGGAAGGCAGCACCTTGCTTGGCCCATGCTCTGTCTTCCCTTTAACATGCAAGGAACGGCAGATTCCCCAGTTCTTAGGCTCAGGCCAAGTTCAGGAGCGTTTCCTTCACTGCGCTTCTGTTAGTTTTTTGGTTTGCATATTGATTTATTTCTGCTTTGTGCTTGGAGTTGAGGACACCACAATGCAGTGCACACAGCCAGGCCGTCTAGGATGTGTGCCTGGGCGAGGGGACCATGGGCAGCTGTGGTGAGGGTGCCGTACCAGGCAGGGGCCGGGAGGGAGGACGGGAGAGCTTGCTGGGGTCTGGCAATCCCATAAGCTCAGAGGAGCAGTGGAATAGGAGTTAACACTTCGGGCTCTGAACCCAGGCCCGACCTGACGGCCTGAGGACGGCCCTGTGTCCGAGTCCTCTGTGGCTGTGCCCAAGCGCACACAGGGCTCACTGCACTGACCCTGAGGCGGAGCCCAGGGTGGGAGAAGAGACCAGACCCCAGCGACCCTCCGAGGCTGGCCCGGTTCGTCCTCACGGTTCCTTTGGCAGAGCAGCCCGCAGCTGTGCTCCAGGTCTCAGGTCCCACCTCCTGGGACCCTTCCCAGAGATTCTGATTCAGCAGGGCCCGGGAGGGCTGAAGGCCTAGGAGCAGCCTGCGCGGGCTTCAGCACCGATGTCTGCAGCACCCCGGGTGACCTCACCCAAGCCCTCCCCCTGGCGTCTGGCGCCGTGCAGTGGGACCACGACAGGAAGGTCACAGGGAGGTGCCCTCAGGACGAGTCAGACACGCTCCCAACAGCCAGCTAAGAGCCCAGGCAGAGACACAACTGCCACACGTGCAGGTCACAGCGCTGTCCCAAGGGGGCCATGGAAGCCACAGGGGTTCACAGTTACCGGTGCTCTTCCTGCTGGTAACATATCCAACGGGAAGCCGGGCCCCGAATGGCATGGTGTAGACGACCAATGCGCAGGCCCATGTCCTACCTGTTGGGGTCATCAGCCTGGAGCCCACTCTCGCTGGTCACAATGACCTTGTAGCACAGCTCGCCCCCTGGGTTGGGCTGCTTCCTCCGTACTTCGCTAGTGGCCTCATCCTCATCCTCCGCCTCCTCCACCAGCATTATCCCAAACTTCTCCCCGGCGTCGAAAACCTGGGGGCCAGAGCACGGGTCAGCAGGGAGTACGGACAGGGACCCCACCCCTAACCTCTCCCTGGCAGCCCGGACTCCGGTTCTGGGCTCTGAAGGGCTACAACCAGGGCTCAAGGACAAACTCCGCTCTGAGAAGCAGGACCCATTCACATCCAGCTTATGCACAAAATCTGACGGGGAGGGAAACTGGGTCTCCTCAGGACACCACTTCTGTGCTGTTACCCAAGGCCCCGGCCCACACTGGACGCCACGCTTGGGAACGGGACTGCGTGTCCCTAGACAGGTCTCTTGCCTTACAGGGACAAGAAGGTCCCGAAGGCTGAGGGGGGCTCTGGTCCTTCTGGAGGGGAATGGGACTCAGGGTCCTGGTGACCAGGGAGCACCTCCACCCCCCCTACCAGAACTAATCCAATTCGCCGACAGCTGATGGGCCCTGGGGGGCGCCCTCCTGCTAGCTTGCCAGTCCAGGAGACACCCCCAGGGGGCCTGTGGCTATTCTTGGGGGGACGGCCTTGGTGCTTGGGTGTCCCTGACCAGGGAACCCTAACCCTAACCCCTGGGTGCCATCACACTACCAAGGCGGAGGCCCCAGCTGCGGTCTGACTCTTGGCTTTGCCACAAGTTACTCAGCCACTGGGCCTCAGTTTCCTCGTGTGTCCAGGGGGAAGTACAGGGCCCACCTCAGAGGGCTGCTGAGAGAATGAAATGGTCAACCCACCAAGGGTGAGAACAGGGCTGGGACCACGGCGACTGCTCTGGAGGCACCCGGACCCCCCATCACACTTCAGTGCCAGCAAGGTGTCACCCGCTTCCCGGCACCACTGGGAGAAGGAAAGGAAACGGTGCACACAAGGTCCCCGGCATCCCTGGGCACTCGGCAAAGGCTGGTTCCTCCCGAAACCGCTCTCCACTCTGCAGCGGTTGGAAACCAGCCACCTACTGGGGCAGCTGCTGTGTGTCGGGCAGGACTGGGCACTGTGGTGGGTGCCGAGGATGAATCACGCACGCCTGGGTCCAGGGCGACAGTGAGGGTGGGCCAGGCCTTGTGAGCGTCGGTCTGGTAAAAAGCTCTGGGCCCCGGGGCCTGGCAAGGCTTTCTGCACGGGCAGGCGCAATCAGAGGTGAAGACCTGACCTGCGGCTCTGGGATGGAGGATGAAAGGAGCCCTCGTGGAGAAGGGTGAGTCCCCACCCCAGGCCTCACCTGCGGTACTCCAAAGCCTGGCTTCCACCCCAAACTTTCTGGGGGACACTGCAGACACGGGGAGCCCACAACCCCACCCAATGGGGCTGAGGGGCTGCTGGGGAGATTAACACGGGCAGCGGTTATAGTTGGCAGCCCACACGGGGGAAGTGGCAGTTATTTTATTTTATTCATTTATTTTATCTCTTTGAGACAGGGTCTCGCTATGCAGTTCGGGCTGGCCTTGAACTCACTTTGTAGCCTACGCTGGTCTCAAATTCTCATCAATCCTCCCGCCCCAGCCTCCTGAGTGCTGGCGTTACAGGCCTGCACCACCGTGCCCAGCCACGGCAACTATTTTTTTGAAGTACTGCCGTCCTTTCTCAGGAAGTGACACCAGGGCCCATGCCTGGCCCTCTCTGTTGGTGAGCTCGCATCCAAACCTGGCTCTGCACAGGCCTCGCTCTGCAACCACGGCTGCAGGTTAGTGCCTGGCATTGTGGCGACTCAGTCCTGCCCACAATGGCTCAGTAGGTTAACGGAAAAATACCAGCTGCCCCTGGGTAGGGCACAGCAGACAGGGTGGCAGGGGCAGACGGCCCCAGCTAGGCTTGTTCTCATAGCACCATCCAGCCCCCAGCCCCAGGGGAGTCAGACTCTCGTCTCACCCCCGCTCCTGCCCACAGAGCGACAGGCAAGTGGCCTGGCTGGGTGAAGGTCTACCGCCCTGGAGGCAGGCTGGGCAGGGGCCAGGGTGTTCCTACACTGTCCTCCCATACAGGACCCTTTTAACAAGCTGGTGTCCTCTTCCACCCAGCAGTGGGCTGGGACACCAGGGCAAGTCCACAGAAAATGCTGGCCACACCACACACTGTACTGGAAGAGGGGGCCATGGCCACGGTACCTTTTTTGAAACCCAGCACTGATGTTCAAATTATGATGAGTTATGACTGACAAACCCCACCTTAGGAAACACCTTAGGTCAAAACGCACTGAACTAGCCAGGCGTGGTGGCACACGCCTATGTTCCAGCACCATGGGAGGCTGAGGTAGGAGGATCCAAAGCTCAAGCCCAGCACTGGCAACTTAGCAAGGTCCTGTCTCACAATAAAAAAAGAGATGGGGATGCCGCTCAGTGCAAAGACCCTGGGTTCAGCCCCCAGGACTGCAAAAAAAAAACAAACAAACAAACAAAAAAAAAAAACCATCAATCTCCTCCAGTATTTCAAGAGGCTCCTGCTACCGATCACTAGCCCAAGAAAAAAAGCAAAATTCAAAGTGCAGCTCTTGTACCACCAGTAAATGCTCATCTGTACATGTTTGAGCAGTAAGTTATCTGGTCCAAACAGGAGCTCAGGGAGAGAAGCTGGCTCAGGGAGGGTGGGGTGTGCCCAGCAGTCGGGCCCAGGAGATGCCGAGTTCCCGGCCTGACACCTCCTCCAGGCTCTGGGGCTCCACTTTGCTCACTGGCTGGGCCCGGAAGCTATGCCCTCAGGAGGAGCCCGGCTCCAGCTGAGGAAAAGGCCCCCCTGGGGGGCCCTGAAGCTGCTCTGACTCCAGACCTGGACAACCCACGTCCCATCCCTCGGCCAGGATGAACAGGAGACCCTGTGGAGGGCTCGATTAAAGCAGGCAGGTGAGCAGGTCGGATCTGTTCCCCAAAGCGGGAGAGCATCGGAGGTTTCTAAACCCTTTTCACTTTCCTTTAGTTGCCTCTCCCTCTCCCTTGGTCTCAGGTCTCCTTAATTTGCCCGCTGCTCAAATCGGATGAAGAAAGATCGGCGAACCAACCAGTGAAAGTTACACAAAATCAAGGGCTCCTGTTCTCAGGGAGTCAATGGTTGAAAGTTTCTGGGATCGGATCTGGGAGACCCTGGGCGAGTTCCGGCCCCTTCCTAAGCCTCAGTTTTCTCATCTGCAGATGGCTGCTGAGTTTTACTCCCTCACCGAGCTGCTGCGGGGCCGGACACGGGCCGAAGCTCATTCATCTTTCTTCCCGCTCCCGGGCCGGGCCCTGGAGGACCAGGACACGGGGATCGAGCTCTCGCTGTCACTCTTTAGCCCCGAACTCCAGCCTGCCGCTAAGCTGCCAGGAAGCAGGGTGGAAGCCGCCCGCTCATCGCGCCTCCGGCTCACCCGCTCCCACCCGCTCCAGCCCGGCCGGCCGCTGCCGCGCCTCCCCGCAGAGGGTGCCCCCTTGCGGCCCGCACTCCAGACCCCCGCACCTCGTGCTCCAGCTTGTGCAGGAGGCTGCCCCAGTACCGCTCCGGGACGCCCGAGGAGCGCAGCGCCGGGCCGTGCGCCGCCGCGAACTCGGCCAGGGCCGCCGCGCCGTCCTCCCGCACTGGGCTCGGAAAGCCGCACTCCCGCCCCGGCTCGGCTTCCATGGCGAGGCTGTCGCTCGGAGGACCCCGCTGTTACTCCCCGCTCCGCCAGCAGCGCCGCCGCCCCGCCTCCTCTTCGGCCCCGCCCACGGCCCGCCGCAGCGCCAGGCACGGGTCCAGGGAGGCTGCGTGCGCTCGCCGTGCGTACGTCAGCGTGCGTGCCCGTCAGAGGCGTGCAGGTGCTGGGGAGGCGTGTCTTTCTGCACTCTCCCCTAGCCCGGGGGATGCCGGGAGGGTGGGGTTACGCCGTCCTACACGGACAGGATCAGGCTGGACCGGAAGAGACTGCCTTCCAGGGACTAGCCGGGCGTGGTGCGAGGTGTGGCCGCCCTCCTCTGACCACGCTTTGATGGCTGCAGAACCCTAGGATGGGAGGGATTCTCTGACCCTTGCATGCGTCAATAAATTTAGGGGCTTGCAAAATGGTGGCCCCTCTCAGTGTAAATCGATCCCATTAAAGCTAGGTGTACCATCAGAAGGTGTTTTTTTTCCTTACAACTTGAGGTGCTAAAAAGTGCATTAAAGAGTTTTATCGTTCACTTTTAAACATTCACTACTCTTTCAAGTCTGTTGCATTGGGATGTGTTTCATTGTCTTTCTGTTTGCAATGTTGTAGTATTTGTTTACTAAAAAGCTCAAAACCTTGACATTTGTGCTTTGATTGTTGATTTTGATTACAATTTTTTGAGCTGCTGGCGCTGTAATCCCAGTACTCTTATAGGCCGATGCAGGGGTCTCACAAGTTCAAACTCAGCCTGGGCAATTAAGAGACGTGGTGAAACTGTCTCAGAATAAAAAATGGCCAGGCATATAGTTCAGCGTGATGGTTTAATCCCCAGTACCATCAAAAAAGCAAACAAAACTAAACACAAACCAACAGCACCCCTCCTCTCCATAATATATAAATTACACCAAAGAAAAGGGGATAAAACCACAGCACCAAAGGTGTTCAGCTTTCTCTGTGTGAGCTGGAGCAGGCCCTCTCAGCCTCTATTTCCCACGTTTCATGTACCCGTTATTCATTGGTTATGATCAGTCCCTCCAATGGCCTGCCGTGATGGAATCTTAACTGCTAGTAGACTTTTGAGAAGTGACTGCATTATAAAGGCTTTAACTTTATTCATGAATTAATCCACTGATGGGATCATAATTTGATGACATGATTAAGAGGTGTTGGAAACAGGAAGTAGGGCTTGTTGAAGGGAGTGGATCATAGGGTGTGACCTGGGGGACTCCATCTGGTTCCCAGCCTCTTCCTTTCCAGCTCTTTCCCTCTTTTTTTCTTTCCTTTTTTTCTTTTTGAGACAGGGTCTCTCTATGCAGTTCAGGCTGACCTTGAGCTCACTTTGTAGCCCAGGTTGGGCCTCAAACTTGCAATGATCCTCCCGCCTCAGCCTCCCCAGCGCTAGGATTTCAGGTGTGCGCCACCACGCCTGGCCCTCTCTCTCTTGATCGTGGCTGCCATGGAGTGAGCACCTTCCCCCTCCCAGGCCTTTCCACTGCGCTGTTTCTGCCTTGGAACCAGGATCCCATGGACTGAAACCTCTGAAACCGTAAGCCAACATAGACCCTCTCTTCTTTAAACTGCATATGTCAAGTATGTGGTCAAAGCAATAAAAAGCTAACACAGCTCCAACAGTGTTAGGTAAGAATTATCTACTTCAGAGACCTGATTATCACAGGTCTCAGGTCTGGTGATGCTATTTAACTAAACTATTTATCATGACTTACAGTCTTACACCTATATAGTCTATATGATACCTCCTACAATTTGATTATGAACGCTCGTATGTTGCAATAATTGTTGTCTTTGACACCTTCATCTTGTTTATATAAGTCAGAAGTTTATCTGCTTACGGGACAGTCAATCCAGCTCAAACTGGCTTAAGAAAAAGGGTATTTATTGGATTAAAGAAGTTCATGTGGGCTCCAGGTACAACTTGATCAAGGGGTTCGGATGATAGTACCATGATCCAGTTATTCTGTCTTTCATCTCTGGTCTTCTGTGCTCTGCTTCTCCTCCTACAGGCCATCACCTTATGGTGATAAGTTGGCTGCAATAGCTCTAGCCCACGTCCTCCCAGGGACCTAGTCCTACTATGGGAAGGATCCTGACTCTCAATGATTCTCTTAGGTTCTGTCAGATAAACCTCCCTGATTAGGAAAATGTGATACTGTGACTGAACAGACCTAATTTTACATGGTCCTCCCGGATGGCAATGCAATTGTGTTGGAGCTCTTCTTGAAACCTTCCTTTGCTGTGACAAATACCTGAGAAAACCAAGTTATAAGGAGGAAAGGTTTACTGTGGCTTGTGGTTTTAGAGGTTTCAGTCCATGGTCACTTGGCCCTGTTGCTTTGGGGTGGCACAGTCCATCACAGAGGGGAGGATATGGGAGGAGACGCCTGGTCACCTCAGGGGTGGTTGGGAAGCAGAAAGAGAGACAGGAAAGGATCAGGGTCCCAGTATCCCTTCAGTGGCACCCCTAGTGACCCAACTTTCTCCTGCTAGGCCCCCAACCTCCCACATCTCCATTGCCTCCCATAGCACCCTCTGGAGACCAAACCTTCAACAGGTGGGCTTCTGGAGAACATTCCAGAACATTCCAGATCCAAACTGTAGCACCCAGAAATAGAAGCCCAGCTCCAGTGCCCTGTTCAGGGTTTGCCCCGCCGACCTCCCCAGCCCCCTCACCACACTCTGCCTCTCACTGCAGTCCTTGCCAGCCTTCAGCTCTCACTGTTCCTTCTGCCCCAGGGCACTTGTCTGCCACCTTGACCTTTCCACTCATTCTGCAGCTCTCTGTTGAAAGGTTCCCTCCCCAGGAGCCACCCAGTGGGCGGCTACTAGTATAAAATACTTGTCTGATTCCCCTCAACTCCCCCTGACCCCGTGGAGAACAGAAAGAGAGGAAAAATGTTTTTTTTTTTTGGGGGGGTCTTTTTCTCTAAATAGCAAGAACCCAGGATGACTTGAGGTCCCTAGAAGCTTTTAGAGCTGAGGGTGCATATAGGTAATGAATTTTTCATACACCGTGGAGCTGACACCAACGATGATAACAAGGAGTCTCCCTAAGGAAACGGGCCAAACTGTGCTTCGCTGCTCTCTGTTATCCTTTGATTTTTTTTTTTTTTGGTACCAGGAATTGAACTCAGGACCTTGCACGTGCCAGGCAGGTGCTTGTGCCGCTGAGCTATCTCCCTGGCCCTTGTTATTCTTTGAAATGCCTGACAGGGACCAAGCTTGAGGTGACACCACATGCAGCTATTAAGCAGCTGCATTGCTGGTCAAAGACTGCATTTCTCACCTTCCAGGTGCTTGCCAGGAAAATAACTGTACTGAGTTGGATGATATAGTTTCCATGCTTAGAACCTCTCATCAGATACGAGTGCATATTTACTTAGATGATATGTTTACTTTTACTTGTTTTTGAGAGTTAAAGATATGATGTTATAAACCGGACTTTTTTTCTTTATGCATACTGAGGACTGAACTCAGGCCCTTTATACTAAACTACATCTGTCCTATTTATGTACGTACATACGTATGTATGTGTCTCTTTGAGACAGGGTCTCGCTATGCAGTTCAAGCTGGTCTTGACCTCACTTTGTAGCCCAGGCTGGTCTCAAACTTGCAACAATCCTCCTTCCTCAGCCTCCCAAGTGCTGGAATTATAGGCGTGCGCCGCTACCACGCCCAGCTCATATTGAAACATTTTTAAAAAAACAATTCACATACAATGACATTAAGCTTTTGAAGCCCACTTTAGTGGTTTTAATTATATTTTCTATCCATTACTGCAAGAAAAGAGACCCTGTTCCCATTTGCAGTTATTTTCCAGCTCTCGGCAACCACTGATCTGCTTTTTGTTTCTATAGATTTTCCTACTTGACATTTCCTATGAAGGAAGTCATACAATACAGGACTTTTGGTGATTAGCTTCTTAGCAGAATGCTTTCAAGATTCATCCATATTTTAGTATATATCTCTACTTCATTCACTTACATGATTAAAAATTTTTTTTTAAAGGTCATAGAATGGCAAATGCTGGAATTACAGGTGTGCATCACCACATCCGGCTTGGACATTTGGATTTTCACTCTTTGGTTATAGCAGTGCTGATTTCATTCTAGCAGCTTTTCTGTGGGCTCCTTACTATTTTCTATCTACAAGATCAGGCCATCTACAAATATAGTTTTATTTCCTTTCAAACTTAGGTGACTTATTTATTGACTGACTGAGAAACAAGGTCTATGTTGCCCAGGCTAACCTCAAACTGATGGTCTTCCTGCCTCAGCTGCTCTAGAAGGTGATTTTTATTTCTTTTTCTTGCCTAACTGTCCTGACTAGAGTCTCTAGCACAGTGGGGCACGCAGACATTCTGCTGTTGATCCTGTATGCTACATTTTTGAGATTTATCCCCACGTTGCATCAGGTCACAGTCAATTTTGCTGCTATGTGAGATTTAATGGTGTTATTTTGCAGTGATCTTCCGCTGAGCCCTTGAACAGGTTGGTTACCTGAAGCATTTGCCTCTTACAGAGGTGAAGCAATGGATATTCTTGTATGTTTCCTGATTCATAAGTTTTAGAAAAGAGATTCTCTAGTAAATGGATCCATATCCTCTCTTTTCTTAGATCACTTAATATTTGCCAACCTAGTGCTACCATGGCACCTCTTTGTTGCTGTATTTCCCATGTTATTACAGGGTTGAGTGCCTTTCCAGATGGTAATTAGCCACCCAGATTTTATCCAAACATTTGCCAGTGTTTACTTGAGCTCTTTATACCCTTTTGTTACTAGGTTCTGAAGTGCTAGGGTCTCTGTAGATACTTTTTCTAGATTCTTTTTGTGCTAAAAAAAGAATTGGTCGAGACAAGCACAAAAGGCAGAGAGATTTTATATTTATTAATGCTAAGAAATGAAAACATGCTCTGCAAAGTGAATGTGGGTCAATTAAAAGTAAGAAAAGAAGTACACTCTGCAGGGTGAGAGGGGACCACTGTGAAAGAGAGACAGCACAATGGCCAAGAGTTGAAGGTAGTACTTTTTGATTGGTTCCAGGGGCATGGCTCCTGGATTTCCAGCCAGCTGGCCATGCCCTAATCTCCTGCCTCACTGTGGCAATTGTGAATTATGATGATATGACCAAACATAGCATATCAACACCTGTTCAAATCCCTGCTTTCAGTTCTCTTAGATAAACACGGAAAAGTCACTTTAAACTTAGTTTTGTGATCCTGTGATGGAATCCAGGGAATTGTACATGCTTAGCATATGCTTTACCACTGAGCCACATTGCCATCTCCTCAGACATCAAAACCACTGTGCTAAACCAAGAAATGAGCCAGTGTTCACCTGTTATTTATTCAGAATGTCAACTGGTATTTCATAAACTATTTTTTTTTTCTTGTTGAGTGTGTTATTGAGGAGGGTAGTTATTAGCCTTTATGGGGTCTAGATTTCTTTTAGAAGCTGGTGAAAGCCATCTGGCTATATTCTCAGAAAAAACACACACACAATGTACTGTGTATCTAACTCTGTTTTTCTCCTCTCTGGAGTACTGGGGATGGAACCCAGGACCTTGCACACGCTAGGCAAACGCTCTTCCGCTGAGCTACACCCATGACCCCAAAGAACACTGTTTTTTTAATGTAAGACCTGAGGGGAAATGGGACTGGCGGCATGGACAGGTTACTTCCTGGCAGTAGCTCTCTGCTTCTCCATGTGCAGATCTCTAATTCCCTGCTTTGCTTTCCAGAAGGCTACTGTAGCCCCTTTCAGCCCTCCACAGTCATGGGATTTCTTACTTTTTCTCTTCTTTTCTGGATTCCAATTACCTTTCCCCACCCCCAATCATGACTCCTTAATGAGTAAGACAGCAGAGCAATATTTAGGTTCCTTTCTTGTTTATTATTAAAGTGATTTTCACAAATCTTCAATTACATGCTTGTGAGGGGGCATGGTGGCAAAAACAAAGCTTTGAATATTTGAGGCAACTAAAAGGGAAATGTGGCTATGTTGCTCTTTGTCACCCTTGCAGTGGATGGCTGGCGAGCCCCGGGACAGGCTGGACTCTTGGCAGAAGGCAGAGGAAAGGGCTGCGGGGGAGAGTCCGGCTCCCTGGCGGCCGACACCAGAACTCTGTGGACTGGGTCTGCTCGGTGTTTAGGGTTCTGATCCAGCACAATCCACAGTTTCCCTGCTGCAGATCTACTTGGCCTCTGGAACCAAATCCTTGGCACCACGAAGCTGTCTTCCACTCTCTACCTTTCTCCCACGCCTGCCCACGGGCATCACGCTCACTGTGCTGTGCCATGTTGAGGGGCATGGTGGGCAGCAGGACAGGCACGAGGAGCACCCCGAGAGCAGGTGTAGGTGGCAGTACCAGCTCATGCCTGAGCACCCTGTCCCCTGCCCCAAGAGACTTCAAGCGCATCTTTCTCTGAATGTTTAATGCTTGTTAAGGGAGGGAGTGTCACTGAGGCCACCACTACCCATGCCTCTGTGCCAGCCTTCCTGTCTTGGACTCCCTTATCCCAGGCTGGCCTGGCTGAGGCTCCAACCTATAAATTCATATGAATCAACATTCACAGTGACAGCTGCTACATGCGGGCCAGAAGGGCTTGAGTTGGATTCCCAACTCTACCCACCTCCAGCTTTTCATCACGGCCAGGTCACTTGGTCTCCCTGAGTCCTGATGCCCGCACGTGAAGACAATGACCTCACTGGGCCGGCAGGACCACCTGTGTGCACGGAAAGGGTAGAGCTGGGTGCCTGGCACATAGGAGATACTGGATGCAGGTTCACTTCCTGGTGAGACTTTGGGCGTCGGGGCAGCTTCAAAGGGTCCATCCAGTGGGCTCCATGCTGGCGCGGCCCCGCAGGGGCTGGGAGGCCTGCTCTGTGGGGGTCATAAGAGGAGGGTGCTGGGAGGCAGCACATGCCATGGCTTAGTGGCCTGGGCCTTGAGACGACTTCCTCCATTATACCTTTCCAAGCAAGACAGGCGGCACAGTGTGGACTCCAGCCCTGTTCTGCCTCTGGCTCATTCCTGGAAGTCTCATGACCTGTGGGTGCCATGGAGGCCAAGACAGCGGGAGCAGAGGGGCTCTTTGCTCGTTTCTGTGTGTTCCATGGGCATTTCCATGCATCAAGTCCTTCTACCTAGGCCTGAATGGCATCAGCTGGGTACTGTCCCCTTAGAAGGGCTGAGCTGCCACCATGTGTATCTTTGGTGAAGTGATGGGACCCTGCTAACAGGTACAGGTGACCCAGCAGGTACTAAGACAGTTGGGGTCCCTGCCTTCCGGGGCACTGACTGTACTGGGCGGGGTCAGCTGGCAATTGTAGGGGTGATGGCCGCTGTCCCGGGCAGGTTCTCATCTCTGTGTCCGCCCTGTTCCCCGTCTTCCTAGGAGCCTGGTGCACAGGTGACGCTTGGTAAGTGTTGCTGGATGATCCACCTTATTTCAGTGCCTTATTTTCCTTCCCGGGTGGTGACCACACCAAACGTCGGCTCCTGGACTCAGCTGGGGACCCGCGACAGCCCAGACACTGAAGGTGCATTTGTCGGAGGTCAGAGGTTGCGCTTAAGGCTTTCAAACCTGGCCTCGGTGGCCAGTGTTATCTGGACCCTGCACCCTAGGTGTCTGCCCCCACCGACAGCGAGGCCCCTGGGCCGGCTGATAAAACTAAAAGGTGAAGGAAGGGAACATTCACTCTCTGGGAGCTGGGACGTCTCCCTTCTGCTCCAGGGTGGCCCCAGTGCCCCGCTCCTCCAGCTGGATTCAGCCTTGACCATGGTGCCAGCTTTCTGCTTTCCCAGAGTGCACAGGGCACTTTGCAGGCCATCTTTGCCTCTTGACTCTGGAGGTGGTTCTCATAAAAAGCCCCCTCTGGTCTTTTCTCTGAATGTCCTGTTTCCAGGGTGATCCCTAGTAAGGAGGCCACGCCCCTCACAGGGTCCTCCTCGGGGCACTTGCCATCTGCACTTGTTTCTGGGATGCGACAAAGGAAGGGAGCTCTCTTTCTGGAAACTGAAGCTGGCCAGCAGGGACTGACCGGCAGAGCAGTAGTGTGGCCCCTGGCAGGACTGTTGGTTGACCCCAACCTTTCAGCAAGTGCAGAGGCTCCCGCCACCATCCTCCACTTGGACTCAGCCGAGGAGGTGGCTGGTGGCAGCTGCGGCCTCAGCTTTGGTATCTGCGTGTAATGGTGCTGACTCATTCCTGAGTTCCAGCCCCTTTTCTGGACTGTAAGCTGTGCCACACCCTGCGGCTGGTCAACAGGCCATGGTCTCATGACCTCGGTCACCTGCTTGCCTCGTCAGTCTCCGTGGGTCACGTGCAGTTCTCAACCTCCCGTGTTAGGCAGGGCTGGAAGCGGGAACCCCAGTGGCCGCTGAGAATCAGTGGCTGGAATTCGTTTTAAGATTTTTCTGCGTCCCTTGGAATTTTTAATATTTGTTAACCTGAAAAAGACGGACTATTCTTATGTACATCGTACAGCTGGCAGCGAACGGCAGCACAAGCAGTGAGGGCTCGTGGCCCGGGCACGCCGGTGGTCTCAGTTGGCTGTGTCCCAGGCACTGGCTTCCTGCTCACACTCAGACTTCCTGTGTCCAAGGGGAGCAGACAGGCAGCGCGGTGTGGCAGAAGGGAGGCCGCGTCTGCCTTGTCCTCCTTCTGGGTAGGTGAAGAGGGTGCGGCTGATCCAGGGCCCTGGCCAGCTCAGCCTGGGCCCCCTTGAGAAAGACCTCATTTCTTGGTGATTTGTGGGCACACCAGAACCCAGGGGGCATCACCACAGCTCTGGCCTCAGGCTCCTTCCGAAGTTTGTGGCTGGGGGGAGGGTGCCATCCATGGGGTCCCACTGAGGGCAGAGATGAGGGGTGCGGGGTGGGGCTGATGCTCCGACAGCACCAGAGCCCGGTTCCTAGGAATGCAGAGCCGGCCTGGCTCTCCCGGGACCCCGCGGGAGGTGGCAGTCACAGGAGCACAGGAGGGTCAGCTTAATCCTGCAGGCGGGCTGGCAGCAGTGGCCCGTACTGACAGTCGCTAGGGAGCATTTTCCTAATGTACCCACAAATAGAAGTATGTATATATATATAAAATCTTATATTTATATTTATATATATAGTACTTAATTAGATGTCCTATCAAGGGAAGGCACACACCTGTCTCTCCCCTCGCAGCCCTGTTCCATGCACCTCAGCGTCCTTAGAGCCCAGCGACCGGGCACTGTGTCCCGTGCCTGTGGCAGGGGAGTCTAGAGGGTGTGGCAGCCCTGTGGGCTCTGACATGGAGGAGAGCTCGTCCACCCCTGCGTGTGCGTCTCCTTGCCCTTCCTTCCCTGGCCTTCCTTCCTGCGTGGGTGACATCAGCCCCCACCTCCTCCAGGGTCCCAGGGAGAGCATCGGCCTCGTTCTTGTCTCCTGAAGCGTCCCGCGTAGGGCGTGCCCTCACTGGCCACCCACGAGGCGGGCCTGGCATGTCGCGGCCGGTCAGCGTCCCGCCAGAGCTACTCAGGAGACAGTGCTCCTGGTATCCTGGGAAATGAAGGGGTGAAAGGAGGGACAAAAGCGTCCTGAAGCCAAGTGTCTCCCCTGGGCTGGCGGATCCGAGAGAGGCCTGGGCTCTGTTCCAGCCCTCCACGGCTTTCCCGAGGGTATCACGTCACGGGTCTGCCAAGGTGACACAGAGGCCCGGGGCCGCCTTCCGCTCCTCTCTGGAGGGAAGGGAGTCTTCCCTCCCCCTCGCCGTCCCTGCAGACAGCGCTGAGCGTTACTTGTAGGGCCGCAGGAACCGGGACACTTTGGAGCGCAGCAGTTTGATGAAGGAGCGAGGGAACATCTCCTTGGACTCCTGGGCTGTGTACTTGAAGTAGTTCTGGGGGTGCGCCAGCACGTCGAACAGCGCCTTGATCAGCTTCTTGTCCTGCAAGACGTGGGGTGTGGGGGTCTTCAAACGCGAAGGCGCCCACTGTCCGGAGGCCAGGCCGGGGCCCACCCCAGTGAGAACCAATGCCCGGGCCTCGCCCAGCGCTGCTGAGGGGCAGCCACGGCCTCCCTTCAGGGCACAGTGGCTCTGCTGCTCAAGGCCACAGGGGGATGAGGAGGAGCCCAGGTCCAATGCAGAGAGGCTCTAAGTGACAACAGCGGTGGGTGGAGACGCTGGCTGTAAGACACCGCCTGTGAGAGACCCTCCTTTCACAGGCAGGAAAGTGAGGCCAGAACCTCAAGCAAAGAACCTGCCTGAAGCCATGTCAACAGGGCCAGGTCTCCTGGTTTGGGGAGGCAGATGGACCAGCCCCAGTCCCTGCACCAGGGCCCCCAAGCCCCGGACCTCTTCCTCCCCTCCTGTCTTCGCCCTCCCTCCTGTCTCCAGGGGTCAGGGGTCAGGGTGGGGGCGGGCACAGATGGCCGGGTCACTCAGAGTCATGCGGATTCCCCTTCAGTAAACTCACTTTCAGGATTTCCTGGTGATTCTCCGAGGCGTACAGACGCCCGTCGCGTACAATGTCTTCAATCAGTTGCTGGTAGTCCTCTGGGCAGCGGGGCAAGAAAGAAGGGCGAGGGCTTGAGACCCTCTTCCTGTGGCCGCGGCCTTTCCCGGCTCTGGCTGTGCGAGGGCCCTGGGAGCAGCTCTGCCTGGGGCCTTGGCCCCCGGCTCCACCGCCCTCTCATCCTTCCTCCTCCCGCTGTAGCTGCCCAGCCTTCCAAACCCTGCAGGGACGACCTCACTGTTTTGCCTGGTGGCAGGGACAGGTGGCTCTGTGTCCTTCTGGCCTGGCACACAGTGGCCGTGAGGACAGGGTCCCGCCTTACCGTCGTAGGTGACGTAGGGAACTTGGAAGCCTTTTCCACTGTTGCCCTCATTGGATTTGAACTGGATCCACAGCTTCCGGGAGCGGGAGGTGAAGGCGATGGGTCTCTCGTAGGTCTGGCACGTCTCATAGGTGGTGATGGATGTGGGCGAGGCTGCAGGGAGCCGCATCATTGCAGAGGCATCCCCAGACCTGCCGGGGCTCAACTTTCCCACCCGGCTGGCCCCCAGTGCCTGCATGCCTGGTCCCCCAAACACACAGCTCTCTCCTAGCATCTGCCTTGGTTCTCCTGGTCCTTCCGAGCTACAGGGGCCATGTGGGTCACACCTGGAGTCGGGTTTGGGAGGCCCCTTCCCCCGTAAGCCAAAGAGCGAAGATGCTTTGCTGCTCCCCAGGGAGGCTTCCTGGGTGCCCCTGGAAGTAAGCGAGCTCAGTGCAGCAGCCCTGAGGGTGACAGTGCAGGCAGGAGGAGGCGGTGACAGGGCTGGGTGGGGCAGTGGTACTGGGCCAGCCTCTGGCCTGCTGAGGCTCCCCAGGCGGCTCCCTTGCCCTTTCCGGTTTAGCAGCCTCACTGAGCAGGTGGTGCCGGACTTGAGAATAAAGTGCCCACACCCGGCAACAGCAGTGAGGTCTCTGCCAGCTCCCCGCAGGGGCACTCAGCTACTTCCGCTTTCTCACAGGCAGGACATGGGCACACTCTGGCCCACACCACTGTGGAAGGCGCCTCTGCTCAAACCTCCAGCTTTCATGGTGTGCCTGGGTGGCCCTCCGCTCACCCAAGCCTCCGAGGGAGGAGGAGGGCACTTCCAGGGTCTCACTGGGCTGTGTGACAGGAAGCAGGGGGAAGAGGCACTGGACAGCCCAGCAGGAAGGAGACCCCGGGCCTGGCTAGGTCCTGTTTAGGGCACCTCCCAGCTTCCGTGCCGGGGATATAACTCAGCGGCACAAGCGCCTGCCTGGCAAGCACAAGGTCCTGAGTTCGCTTCCTGGTACAAAAAGAAGAAAAAAAGAACCCAGCTTCCTCGACCTCCCCACACTGCTCCTCTAGCCACACCCGTGCTCACGCTCTGTGCAACCTCCTCCTGCCCCCCGGAGCCACGCTGAGACAAGGAGGGGTGTTGGCGCGTGGCTGAGACCAGTCCCGTCCCCAGCCCCAGCCCCAGCCGCGAGGCCAGCACGCACCGCTCTTCCTCATGACCAGGACATCGCCGCACTCGTCCTCGATAGGCAGGAAGATCTCGGGGACCACAATGAGGATCCTGCGCTTGGGGGGCGGGGCGATGTGCCACACGCACTCCGCGTGGGCTGGGTAGTCACCGGGGTAGTTGGGGGACTCGATGTAGCCCGTGTAGTCACCAAGCTCGCCACCGCAGTGCTGGTCTGTGGGCACCACGGCCCGAGGGCCTGGTCAGGCTTCGCTAGACAGGCACGGCCAGCTGAGTCCTCGGCCCAGGCTCCACCCAGCCCTCCCACGCCCAGCAGCCCTGGCCGGGGGCCCTGCCTGGCTGCCCCTCAGCCCTTCACATCTGCTGGGCTCTGAGGCCCAGGATGAGGGGCTTCTTGGGGGGCTGTCTTGACGCAGACCCATCTCACTTCTTGTGCGCCCTGCGGGTCGTGAACCCTCACCTGGCTGCTGGCCGCCTGCTTCTCTCCTGAGCTCATGCGTCTCCAGGGTGAGGCTCACCCGCCCTTCCTCTTGGTACCCATCTGCTACGCCAGACACCCTTGCTGAGCCCTATAGCTGTGGCACGGTCACCCTCCCCAGCAGGGGCAGGAGGTCACAGGCGGGCAGCGCAGCAAGGAAAGAGATAAATGTTTTCCTTTCTTTACTAAGAGCTCAGGAGAGGATGTGGAGAGGCCAGATGTGACGTTTTTATGAGCTGAGTGGCTCCCAGCCTTCAAGGTATAAGGAAGTCAGTTTTGCAAAGCGAACTCAATGTGAATAAGAAATATGCATTCATTTCCTGTGCATTCTCACTTCAGCATCTTCTCCTGTCGTATTTCTGGGAAACGTTCCCTTCCCACCTCCAGCGAACCGGAAGCTTCCCTGCCACCTGGCTTCCCTACTTTTACCCATCAGGGCATTGAACACCCTGTATCTACGGCCTCCTTTGCTGCACTGTTCTGCTCCTGAGGGGGGTGCGCTGGGGATGGCCCTGCAGGGAGCACCACTGCCGTGTCCGGGAATGAATGCCCTTTCACAGGCTTTTAGGTGGTTCCAGACATGAGCCGTAGCCCAGAAAATTGGTTAGCAAAGGGTAAAATGCGGAAACTCTGCAAAATGAATTTAAAGTAGCATGGCACCCAACTGTTACGCACAGGCCGTGTCTGGTGAGGGTGGGGAACCGACGGACCATGGCCCCACGGTGTGGCCCTGACAGTGAGCCAGATGGGCACTGCTCCTCCCGGCTTGGGCTCAGGTTGGACGCAGGCATGCTCAAAGGGATCCCCAGGAGCAGGGCCCGTCTCCTCCTGGCCCGCCCCACCTCCCCACCCCCATGAGCGGGGCGCCTACTTTTGCAGTGGGTGACGTTGGTGGAGCCGTCGAAGTCGGTGCTGGTGTTGCCCGGGCAGGTGATGCAGTGGTTCTGGCCGAATTCGGGCTGGTAGGTGCCCACGGGGCAGCGAATGCAGCGGTGTGTGGTGGTATTGTAGTGGTGGCCGGGGGAACAGTGCACTGCAGGTGGGGGACAGACCGTGACGATGGGGGTCTGGCGCACCAGGGCGGGGACCACCCTGCCCTCCCTGGTGACGTTCCCCCACTGGGGGATGAGGTTAGGACAGTCAGGAGACTGAGCGGCCGGCCACCCTAGCTGGGGCACAAGGACAGCACAAGAGCTGTGAGCTGGACACTAGGAAGACAAAAGGAGGGGCCCAAGCCAGAGGCAGACAGAGGACATGTGGCCCCAGCAACCCAGGGACATTGTGGGTGGATGGGAGCAGTTTTCAGGGAGCAGTCAGGTGACTGTGTGAATGGAGGGATTCGGGGCAGAAGGGGAGGAAAGAAGGGGAAAGAATGAACCAGACTGTTACACGGGTCGGGGTGGCGCTGCAGCGGGTGGAGCAGGCAGCACACAGGCTCCGTGGACCCACGGCCTAGGCTGTCCGTGCAGACGGACAGACAGATGAGGAGAGGGAGCCCGCGGAAGGGGAAGTGGGTCACCAGCTGGGGACAGGTGTGGAGGGCATCCGACCTGGCGCCCGGCAGTCCCGAGGGTCCCCTGGAGCCCGAGGGTGGTCGGGTGGGGGAGACGGGAGGTGTACGGGGCAGCAGTGGGGCCCTCTCACCTTTGGCCTCGCAGTCCTGGAAGGAGGTGGCGCCCTCGTGCTTGGTGAGCAGCCCCCCGCCACAGGGGAAACAGCCGGTGCGCCCGGGCTCGGGCTGGTACGTGCCCAGGGGACAGGCCCGGCACGGCTTGAAGCCGTCGCCCGAGAAGGAGCCTGCAGAGCACTGGCCTGCAAGTCAGAGGTCACGGCTCAGGCTGGTTGTGCTGGCCGGGGCCCTGGGACAGGCACTGGGCAGGGGGTGGCCTGGCCCAGCCTGGGTCCCTGTGAGACAAGGGAGGGACTGTGCGAAAGCTGACTTCAGCTGAACACAGAGAATGTTCCAGAGTCCAGCAGGAAGGCAGTGTGCAGGCATCTCAGCATGAGGGGAGAAGTGAGTTCAGGGTCCTCTCAGCTCAGACTTGGGGACTCTCCCCCTGTGGTCACCCCAAGCACCGACAGTCACCATTGCAGGGCAGCACTTGGACAGGGCACTGGAAGGACTGCTATCTCCACTCCCCCAGGTACCCCCTCCCAGTGCTGAGGTCCCCTCGCACTCTCCAGGGAGGGTCCCACAACGGCCCAGGAGGAAAGGCTGCTGGGAGACCGTGACCCACCTTGAAGAGGGGCTGGTCGGGGCGCTAGGTGCTAAAGCCCTTCACAAACCAAACCGTGCTTGGTAGATTGCAAAAGGGCTCTCTTTCAACCAGCTATAGTGCAAACTACTTTGCTTTGTTTTTTGTGTGTTGGTTGGTGATACCGGGGATGGAACCCAGGGAGCACCGGCCCAGCCCTTTCTATTTAGTGACAGGGTTAGTGACAGGGTCTCACTAAGTTGACCCGGTTGACTTTGAACTTGTGATCTTCCTGCCTCAGCCTCTTGAGTTGCTGAGATTACGGGTATATACCACCATTTTGGTCCAAACTGTGAAGTTCTCTGTGTGGAGCAAAGCTCCCGACCCAGCACTCGATGCCTATGGCTTGCCCCGCGATGGGTTTTAAGGAAGGTGGAGGGAGGATTCCACGGGATGTGACGCCAACCGCGAAGCACCCCGTGCCTCCACCACACCTCGATCTATATGGCACAGGGTGTGCGAAGTCTCTGGCAAACTACCCGATGCCAAGTACTTGGGGTGCCTGGGGGCTGCGGAGCTGGGGGCACTCTGAGGCAGGGGGTGCCCTGGGAGCCCAGGAAGTGCCCTGTCCGAGTGATGCCTGCGTGGAAACTGCGAAGCTCTGAAACGGCAAAGTGCCGCAGACCACGCCACACTCCACGGCAGGCACGGCTTCTGTCCTTGCTTTGGGAGCCTCGAGCAAACGGCCCCAGCCCGCCTCCCGCACGGCTGGGCCCACACTCGCCTCCACACTGGGACACGTTGCGGGCACCGGCCAGGCCAAGCCCATCGCTGCTGGGGCACGGGGTGCAGCTGAGCTGGCCCTCCAGGTCCTGGTAGGTCCCCGACGCGCACGGCACACACTGGCCCTGCTCGCCGCTGAAGTAGGTGCCAGGTCCGCAGGCCACTGCAGAAGCAGAGAGAAGGGTGGGCTGGGGCACGGTGGGCAGTGAGTGCCCACCCAGCCTCTCCCCTGGAAGAGCCAGGCATCCCAGGTGGCAGCCATCATCCATGAGGACCCCAGGGTCCTGCAGCGCCCCCAGCCCTGCCCACGGACCCTCTGCTCCACATCCTGCCCTCCAGCCAGGTGTCCTGGCCTTGTACCGCACCCCTGGGAGTCTCCACCTGGACGTCCCACAGCCACTTCTTCCAGACCACCCCCCCCCGCGTGTCGGGGAGCCCACACCCGAGGACGCCAGGCAGGGTGGTGCCTGGGGGCTGCGTGAACACACCGGTCAGAGGGCCTGGTGCTGGACAGAGGCTGTCGGGGAAATCATGGGGAGGCGTGGATGGAAAAAGGGCCCGGGTGATGGGCTACATCGGGCCAAAGAGGGGACCCATGAGGAGAGAGGAAGCGGGAAACAGGAAATCCGTACATGAAGGTGGAAGGGGCCACACTTCTCACCATGGGAGAAGGTACTTAGGGAGGGAGGTTAGAAAGAGCCTTGAGGGGTGGAACTGGACATGCCGGAGTGAGCCACGGAGTTCTCTCTCCCTCTCTCCCTCTCTCTCTCTCTCTCTCTCTCTCTCTCTCCCTCTCTCTCTCTCTCTCTCTCTCTCTCTCTCTCTCTCTCTCTCTCTCTCTCTCTCTCACACACACACACACACACACACACACACAGGTGTGTGGGGTGGGGGAAGCTCTTTCTCACAGGTGACTGGTGAGTAGGCGAGATGACAGAACACAGAACATCCTGATTTGGCGGGAAATGTCAAGCAAAGCTGGGGCTGGTGGGTGGGAGCCCCGGGGAGCAGGATGTCGGTGGAAACCCAGGATCTGTCCTCAGAAACTACTACTCCACCATAGCGGGGAGAGGTGAGCGGTGGAGGAGGATCCAGCGACCCTCAGAACGCTGTGGCAGCTAACCAGGCGAAGACCAGGCATGGTGGCTGCGATCTGTCTGCCCTGAGACACGGCAGGTCCCAGCTGTTCCGAGGAGATCGAAGTGGGCGGCGCTGAGGGTCAGCCTACAGAGAGAGGGTGTGCCATGCCAGGACAGGGCTGCCCAGACCTCAGGCACTGCACAGGTGTGCCAAGGAAATGTGACCTGTGTTCCTCCATAGAAGCCGGGTCCAGGAACTGAAAAGGGACATGGTCGGAAGAACTGTTGAAATGTAATGGAGCAGCTGGGCTTGGTGGCACACACCTGTAATCCTAGCCTTCTGGGAGGCTGAGGCAGGAGGATCATAAATTCAAGCCCAGCCTGAGCAATTTAGAGGCCCTGTCTCAAAAAATTAAAAAAGGACCAGGGAATGCAGCTCTGTGTGAAGGCCCCGGGTTATATACCCAGTAATGAAATAAAAAAGATGTCGTGGGGTGTGTGGGTTGGACAGTACTGAGTACACACAGATGCTCATATATACGTACACACACACACACACACACACACACACACGCAAGAGAAAGCCTACCGGCACAAATGCTGGAACATGCAACAGGGAAATGTGGATGAAGCAAAGATGCACGTTTTTTTGTTCTGCTTAATAATGTTTCTGAAAGCTAGAAATAGTCCCAAGTAAGTTGTTCAAAATAAGAGAGAGATGTCTTCTGGCCCTCATCATGCCCAGGCCACGGTGGCTCCCCACGGCGCTGTCTGAGCCACAGTCCCGGCTCTTCCGCTCTTGGCTTCCCTGCCCAGCCTGGGCTCTGAGGCGAGCTCTGACTTCTTGCTGTGGCTGCCGGCTCCACACTGTCACACGGACGATGCCAACTCTGCCCATGGCGGGGATGCAGGCCCCAGCACACCCCCCGCTGGTCCCTACCGTGCACCTGTCTTGCCCGCCTGCTCTTCGTGGTTCACCACAGCTGCACGTGCAAGGGACCGGGGGTTGCCACGCAGCATCTCAGGGCCCCGAGCGGCACTCACCACATTTGCCGTCCTGGAGCACCTGGCCCGTGCCGCAGGTCCCTGGTCCCTCCGGGGCCTTGGCGGGCCGCTGGGCCACCTCGTACTCCATGCCCGAGATCTGGACGTAGAACTGCTGCCGGCTGATGGCCTTCCGCAGGGTCTTGATGGCAGCCTGCAAGCTCTGCTCTGCCCGCTTCCGCATGCAGTCCTCGTCGCAGGTGTCTGCGGGCGAGAGTGGGAGAGAGACTCACACCTGGCAGCTGCTGCTTTGCAGGAGGCCCCCTGCCAGGCCCTGCTCAGTGTCGGGGGCTGAGTGCATGCCCTCAGCGCATCCTCAGGGCAGCCTGGGCCAGCGCCCAGCAGATGGATGAGAAGTCCAGGGATCCGAGAGGTGTGACCTGGCTGCGGCAGACCCTAGGACAAGCCAGGCCTCTATGTGGCAACGGGTCAGCTCCAGGGCACAGCTCACGGGGTTCGTGTGTGCGTGTGAGATTCAAACACACCGAGGACTGCCACTGCTCCCAGATCCTGTCCAGCTCTCTGCCCCTGAATTCAACCAAGGTGCCTTGAGGTCTGGTCCCCCCACCTGCCTCAGCCACCGACACCTGGACACTGTGAACCGCACCTTTTAGCCACTCTTCCTTCTCCCTGCCTCCCAGATGCACCCTCGTCCCTGTGACCTCTGGCTGTGCTCATTCTGGTCCGCCGCCTGCACGCCATTCCTGGCCACCTCTTTTACCCAGTGAACTTTGACTTCAAGCTTGAGTTCAGCAGCCCCTCTCCTGCGAAGGCTTCCTGGATCCCTCCCTTGGGGAGAGACCTTAGGTCTGTGGCCTCTGGTCCTCGCACCCCCACTACCCACGGCGTCACCTGGCACTGGGCAGCCTGTCTGCACACCTGCCTCCCCATGGCTGTGGTGCTGCCACGGCAGGGGCCACGGCGCCCACACCGAGCCAGGCACACGCCAAACACGCTTGCTGGCCACTCACAACTCCTCTGCCACAGCCAAGAGGAATGCGTTGATGTGAAACGCACGACACAAGGCCTCCTGCAAGCAGGAGAGACAGTCCTTGGCTCAGCTGTCCCGGGGAGGCCGTGCTTCTACCTCTGCAGCACTGGTGAGGGTGTGGAGGTGGGGGAGGCACGCAGCTGTCTCTGTGTCTGGAGCTCCTCTCCTGTCACCGTCCCTGGCCATGCCGTGTCGCCTGCTTGCCCAGCTGGCCTCCGCCTCCTGCTGCCATGGCTCTGGTGGGAGCCCGGCTTCACCCCTGCACCCCTCAGCAGCTCTCCCAGGTCCTCGGCAGCTCACAGGTGAACCTTCACCCACCTGAGGCCTCCTCCATCTTCAGCTCCACTTCGAACTCCGCTGTGACGTGGGACACCTCCTTGGACGGGGACTTGCGGCCTCGGCGCCTCTTCTTGGAGGAGTCACACTTGAGGGTCACGGCAGTCACGTGGCAGTTGTCTGGACGAGGGGGGGGGAGCTGTGGCAAAGGTGGCCCAGCAGGGCACAGGGCCCTGCCCAGAGACTGCCACTGGCAAGGGTCCCTCTGTGCCCAATAGTCCATGCAGCGGATGGGGAAACTGAGGCAGAGGAGGTCAGGGCTGGCTCAGGGCCTCCCAGGGAGCTGGCAGCTGAGCCAGGTCCTGGGCTGCTCGTGGAGATGCTGCATACACATTCACCAGGGAGGTGGGGGACTGAGCGCAGGGCCTCGGGAGGTTTTGCCCAGGGGAGACACTGTCCCCTTTCCCCTCACAGCTGAGCCCGCAGTCTCACTGGCATTGGCCATCCTCACTCAAGGGTGGTCACCAAGTGAGCACCTTAATTCCTTCCACTGGGGCACAGCCAGGCCATGTGGAAAGCGCTTGGCAGCATTTAACCCCGGCGGGGGGCAGGGACAGCGGCCCCCCGGATGCTGGGTGTTATGGTTCATATCCAGATGTCCCCCCAAAGCCGCATGCATGCACAGGCAGGCCTTTTGGAGGTAGCTGGACGGGAGGGTCACAGCTGACTTGCTGATGGAGGTGGGGTCTGGACAGAAAAGCTGGTCCCCGAGGGTCTGGCCTAGGAGGGTTGATCTGTCGCCCTTTCCTCTCTTTACTCTCTGCTGGCTCCAAGGCAGGCGAGCTGGCAGAGGGGCCTGGCAGACGAGAGCTGCTCTTGGCATGGCGGACAGGAAGCGGAGAGCTGAGCATGCAAGGACTGAAACGTCTACAAGCTGTGCGCCGAGATAAACCTCTCCTTAAATGACGGGTGTTGAGTACTGAGTCTCAGTGATGACAGACTAAGACCCTGGGGAACCCAAATTTCCTCCTCGAGGGCTGGCTTTCTTCTCAAGGGACAGGGCCAGCATCTGCAGTGCCCTAGCTTTTGGGCTATGGCTTCTGCCTTTGAAAATCCAGCCCCGCTGGGCCGTGGGCCCCAGCTCCAGGTCTGGGGATTCCTCTGCTCTCCCTTGGTAGGCGGTACGGGGTGGCACACTCACCCAGCAGTGGCAGCCTCTGGGTCTCCTTCACTCGCTCGCGATTGCGGGGCCGGAGGTGGCACTTGGCATCTCTGGTCTTGAAGCGGGCCTTCTGCTTGATGGGGGCCGTGGGGGCATCTAGGGAAAGCCAAAATTCCCCCAGGTGGTGGCCTCTCCTGTGGGCAAGGAGGTGGTGGGGGACAGGAGCTCCCAGGGGACAAGTCCCTCTGAGCGGGGGCTTGGGCTTGGTGTGGGCCACTCTGCCCCGACAGCCCTCCGGGCCGGGGAACCTCGCCTCTGTGCAAGGCGGCAGAAGGTGACCGTGGGGTCAGGCTCAAGTCCAGGGCCGTCCAGCCAGAGGCCTCCTGCAGAGGAGGAAAGGGTCGCTGCCTACCTCCTGCCTCCCTGCCAAACCCACAGGCACGGCTCCGGCTTTTAGGACGAGAACGAGGGGCGAGGAAGGGGGTCTGAAATACTGACACCCAGAACACCGGGTTCCCACAGAGTCCTGCGATTGCTGGACTTAGAATCATATCCTGCGACCTCAACAGCGAGGACACAGGCTGCCCTTGAGTGGCAGGGGCCTGGCTGAGCTGAGGGCCAGCGGCATGCTGTGCCTGGCAACCGGTTAGTCAGGGGTTTAAGGGCAACTCTGCGTTAGAGTTCTCAGAACCTTAGCATGCAGCAGATGCGACACACGCCCTGAAACAGCCTGAGGTCTGTGGACTCTGGCATTGCGGGGCCACCAAACCCCTGTTCCCATGACCTCGGCGTCAGAACGGCCTTCTGTGGCCCACTGCGCTGGGCTGGGACTTGGGCTGAAGCCTCTGGGCTTCTAGGGCCTGGCGCTGTCTTGTCTCCAGTATCCCAGACCACGCTGGTTCCTCTGTCTTCCCTGGGCTGCGCCCCTCCATCCTCCCAGCACGGTGCTGGACACAGCCAAGGAGCCACCCCAGCATGCACGGCATGGACGGGCCAGGGGCTACCTGAGCAGCCGGGCCCGGGGCCGGAGCTGGTGCCATTGATCTTTGGTTGCGTCCTGCCGTGGAGACCCGGAACGCCGCAGCTCAGGACGTAGCTGTTCTCCGAGTCTGCAGAGAGGCCAGTGGGTGAGGTGGGCCTGGGTGCACCTCCCTTCCAGGACCCCAGAGTCTCGAGGCCTCCGAGGGGTTGCTGAATGAGATGAAGGTCAGGACTGACCCCTCTGTCAGCCCATTTCTGCCACGTGCCCACACGTAAGTGGCTGGGCAGGGAGGAGCCCACACCCCAAGGAGGCAGGCAGACAGCCGGTCCCCTGCCCAGGAGGACTTGGGAACCAGGGCCTTTATTCCTAGGTCAGGCTCTTCCTCGGGAGCAGCAGGGAGCAGGGACCCCAGGAAAGAAGCCCCCCAACACAGCCCACTCCTGGGACAGCCTGGGGTTACCTGGCACGAAGAGGGTGTGGGCCAGGCAGGAAAGGAAGCAGCTCTCCACGCTGCCCACCTTGCTGCAGGACAGCTGGGCCTGTGCGGAGGCCTGGGCCCAAGAAAGGCACCTGCCGCTCTCTGAGGAGAAAAAAGCAGAGTGTGGCCAGGGCTGCAGGCCACTACGCAGGGCTCCCAAGGCTTCCTACACCCTGCCTGCCAGGGCCTGACGGACACGGGGGGGGATGCCGGGGCCAGGGCCATTGAGGACACAGTCAGCTGGCCCACGCCCTTTCCCTCAGGCTCTCGACCTGCTGCCTGTGAGGAGGCTCACGATGTCCCCAGGCGAGTCTCCCGGGGGACAGGGCAGGGTCCTCAGAGCAGCCACACCTGCCCATCTGGGGGAAGGGGACAGCAGCAACTGGACAGCAGCTTCCTGGTGGGGACCAAAGCTCGAGGCGCGGACCAGAGGCCTTTGGGTGTCTGACGATGAGAGGCTGCTCTTCAGGATGCCTTGTGTTTGTCTTCAGAGGACGGAAGATGTCCCTGGACTCTGACGTGATGACCCTTGGGTCCCTGGGAGAGCCAGCTCCTCCAGGCCTCGTGATGGGCCACCTCCGTCACCACAGGAGGGGGGCCTCAAGTAAGGGGCGCCAGGCTCCCTCTGCGCCCACGCGGCTGGCTCAGGCGCTGACACCTCAGAGGAAGCTCAGCTCTCCCGGAAGCCACCACCTCCGTTTTCCGGTTTACAGTATGGTGATCCCCTCGGCTCTTCCAAGATGGGCTCAGGACACCCTTGATTCCCTGCGTCCTGTGGGTGCCAGGGGCTCACAGGTGACTCCCTGAAGAGAGGTGTGGGACCCAGTCAACACAGAACAACCCCGATCCTTGATCTGCCTTACTGAGCTCTCCCGCTCGCTGGTGCTGGTAAGACATGTCTCCCCTCCGCCGTGGTGGGGACGGAACCCATGGACGGACACCCCCGGTGTCCAGGTCTCTGATCAGGGATTTGCCCATTTGGCGTGGGCTGCGCCACTGTCTGCCCTGCCCTGCTTCCATCTGATGCGCTTGGTGCTGCCCTGACTGGCGCTGTGCTGCAGGGGGGTGTGGAGACACCAGCCTTGCACACTTCCCGCCCCCTCCGACGGGGCCCCGGGGCTGCACGGTGGGAGGTGGATTTGCTGCCGAGGATGAGGGGCCCTTCCCCGAGTCCCCGATGAAGCCCTCGTGAGGACAGTCTTGTTCTGCCAAGGTGCCAGAGTGCTCACTTTGCTTCGTCCACGGTGGGGAAGAACGTCAGTCATGGGTCACAGGGCTTCCTGCTTCTGTTTGGTCGGGGACACTGGGACGGCGCTCTAAGCACATGCCTCTGACTGGCTACGGTGAAGATTGAGGGGTTTTTTTTAATGCCAAAGCCGCAAGGTCCTGGCAGAGCTCCTTTGTCCTCGTGGATTCAGACTACAACCCTAACTCTTGGGCTTGGCTGGTACAGGGCAAACTGCCCCCTCCCGCCTGCCACAAAACCCAAACCACCACCACCAGCAACACCCACTTAGAATAACATCAATCATTATGGGTGCTTAGGACAGGTCAAAATGTATGCACTATGCTAAAGACGAGCTCTAGAAAGCTAGGAGACAGTGCTGACTACTGAATAGTCCGCTTCGGCCAGTGGTGTGCTTCTGCCTCGGTTTCCTCCTTGTTCCTTCCTCGGTTTTCTTCTGAACCCACTGTCCTGTAGCTCTCTCACCCCCAGCTCCACCTCGACCAGGCCCTTACAGCCCCCTACGTCCAGCTCTGGCCCTGACCTCCGGAAGCACCTCCTTGCTCAGGGTGGCTCAGGACAGAGAAAGCCACACTGTGGGATTCCATTAAAGCTGCTTGCCGAGAACACAAATCACACTGAATTTAGAGCCTGGTCTAGAGGCAAGGCAAGCGCTATCAGGGCTAAATTTGAGTTTCCTAAGCTGCAAGAGCTGGACGGGGATTTGCTTCAGATTTCAGGATTCCACTGGATAATTACTGTCCTGGGTGATCAGATCTGCACTGTTGAGCTCACTTAATTGTTAGGATCTTGGGGTAGAAGAAGAAGATGAAAAGCAGCTGCCAGTAAAGACCAGAAGATGAAGCCCTGCCCAGGCATAATTTAGGAAAATAGCCGTAAGTGAACAAGGAAAATCGGAACTACAGCACCAGAGGCCAGCTCAGAAGCACTTCCTGAGGAAAACAAATGGATAAAGATTCAGAATTGTGAACCAAGTAAATATGATTCACTTGGGGACGTTCATCATAGATTTTACATGTGCAATCAATATTTTCGAGGAGACCCAAACCTAAATATGTAAAGGGAGTCTGGTCCGTCCTTTCTGCAGGTGGGTATGCCGGACTGGGCAGGGGTGGAGGGGGCTTGGAAAAATAAACTGGAATGAAAGAATGCCGGCTGAAATAATTTTTAACATGTGCCTGGACATTTTGAAGGAGTCTGAGCAAGTGAGTAATTTAGAAACAAACAAAACCCCTCATGGCCCTCGAGATGAAAATATCTGGGGCCCAGTAAGTACGGAAGCCGAAGTCCTCTGTTCTCAGAGGCCCCCGAGCCCGGGGACGAGGACACCCGTGGGTAAAGAGAGTTCCTGAGGGAACCCAGGCCCCAGCATGGCCCCGTGGTTCCCGTGAAGGTCCCGCCTGGGGGTTGTGTCCCCAGAGTCCCTGCACGTCCTATGGGGTTCTGATGCCTTTCCCAGGGCCACTTCTCAGCTTGTGTGTGCAGCGGGAAACTGGGGGATGACGTCACATCCCTAGACCAGCAGCTGGCTGGCTCCTGTTCACCATGAGAGCAAGGTCGGCCCTGGCCTGGGACGGGAGGCCCCTGTCTGTGCAGCACCTGCTGGAGTCCTGCAGCGGGGCTCGGGGGTGGTGGGAGGCCGTGCTGCTGCCCCTGTGCTGCTAGCAAGCACCCCCGCCTCGGCGCTGAACGCAGGCCGGGAAACCCACGCCACTCAGAATCCCACTGCCACTGCCCGGGAGACGTCACCATGCTGAGTGTAACCTTCTCTACCGCCGAGCCAAGGGCTGCAAAGGGCTAACTTTAGATTTTCTAAGCGGTGCACACACAGTAAAGTCCTTTGTCCCTTACAAGGAGGCCCATGGCTGCCGCCGCACCCTGAAAGAGGCGGGGAGAAGCCTGAGACCCAGAGTCGGCCAGCACCGACCATTCTGAGCCCCCCACCCTGTCCCAGCCAGTCCTTCTGAGAGAGCCCGGGGAGCCGGAGGCGAGAGGGAAGGAAAGACAGGGCACGGGCTACAGCCTTGGAGCAGGACACCCGCTTGTGTGCGCATGCGTGAGGGGACGCCTGTGAGCACGTGTGAGATCTGTGGACACGTGAGAAGGGTAAGCACACGGAGGGCACGAGAGACTGCATATGAGGGGATTCGTGAACACATGTGAGGGCATGTGCGTAGGCACGCGTGTGAGGATGTGTGAGGGGAGGCGTGTGAGCAGGTGTGAGGGGATATGTGAGTGCGGGGGAGGCAAACAGGAGTGTGCAGGGGATTGGGGTGGTTGGGGCCCTGTGGTTGGGCCTTTTCTAACCAGTTCAGTGCTCCGGGTCCTGCCCTTCACCGTTCCTCTGGTCTTGTCCCAGAAAAGAGCCCCCTTTGTCTGGGACAGGGGCCCCACAACCGGGAGAGCCCCACTCTGCCACTGGGACTGCAGGTAAATACACAGAAGAGGGTTATTTTTGGAAGTCACAGAAAATCCTCTTACACATGATTTGAATTATAGCGGAGGGAGCCTTAGCACGCCTGCACTGTACAGGACTCAGAAAGAGTCCCTGGGGCAAATGCTTCCACAACATCAGCAGAACGACTGGCAGGGAGCCCAGCAAGGGTCCAAGCTGAGTGTTCCCAGACCGCCATAGCTCTTTTGAGTGAACACGCCAAGGTCAGGGGTCTAAACGCCACAGCACGGCGACATCAGCAGCCTGCATGCTTTCTGGACCCAGCCGTAGGTGTGTGTTCTCCGGCCTCAGTGCAGGCCCACTCAGTTGGCCGAACTATCTTTGGATCTTGAACTAGAATTACCCTTCACTTTCAGGGTACCACTTGCAGTATGATCTGCCCTGTGAACTAAAAACATCTAGTATTAAGTCAGGCATGTGATGCACATCTGTAATCCCAGTTACTTGGAGGCTGAGGCAGGAGGACCACAAGGGTGAGACCAGCCTGGGCAACTTAGTAAGACCCTGTCTCAAAATAAAACAAAGAGGGCTGGGGGTATAGCCTGGCACTCACTTATCTAGCATATGTGAGGTGCTGGGTTCAATCCCCAGGACTGCAAAAACCAAAAGCAAAGCCAAAATGCCCCATGTTTTTTCTACTTGTCATTGACTAATGCTGGTGTCTGGTTATTTTCTTCCTCTCATCCTCACTTTGGGCAACTCTCCCATCCTTTCTGGAAGGCAAACCTCGGCCTAGGTCTTGGTACTTCGGGAAGAGCTCATGTCTGGAACAAGCTCTTTGGACGCTCCATGACAAATCCCATTAGTACTGTTTATGACTCATCACAGGAATGGACAAATTCTAAGATTCATACGGCAATTCAAGGAGAGCTCAGCAGCAGCCAAGTTACCTTCGAACATGCAATGCAAAGCTGGAGGAGTCATACTTTCGACTTAAAAGCCTTATATAATGCTACAAGAATCCAGACTGTGGGCATCAGTGTAAGAGCAGAGAAAGAGATCAAGCAGATGGAGCTTGGAATCCGGAAGTAAACCCTCTCATTTACGGGTGATTGATCTGGATGAGGAAGCGAAGACAGTTCAACAAGGGAAACAAATGGTCCTTCCAAAAAAACAAAACAAAACAAAACAAAAAACCCAAAAAAACCAAATGGTCCTTCCAACAAATGAGCTAAGTCACATGAAAAAAAAGTTGGATGCTATCGCACACCATACAGAAAATTATCTCAAAATAGGCTTAGACGTAAGACCTACAGGTATAAAGCTCCTAGCAGACCGAGAGATAAATCTTTGGGACCTTGGGTTAGGCAGCTGTTTCTCAGAAACGACAAGAAAAACAAAAGCAACTGAAGAAAAACTGATAAATTGGATTTCATGAAAATTCAAAACTTTTGGAGCATTAAGGACACCATAAAGAAAGTGAAGGGACTCAAAGAATGGGAGCAAATCTTTGCAAATTATGTCTAAAAGGGGATTTGTATCAGGACTGCCGTGGTTTGGATCTTGAATGTTTCCCAAAAGTTCGTGTGTTGAAGGCCTGGTTTCTCGCTGGTGGCAGTATTGGGAGATGGCTAAGCCTGTGGGAGGTGCGGCCTAGTGGGAGGCAGTGAGGCCATATTGGGGGTGTGGCCTGCAAGGGGATACTGGGACCCCAGCTCCTTCCTGTTTCCCAGCATGCTCCACTACATACATGCTCCCTGCTAGAATACGCTGCCTGGCTACAGGCCCCAAAAGAATGAAGCCAGCTGACATAGACTGAAACCTCCGAATCCAGGAGCCAAAATAAATCCTTCCCACTTTTTCTCATCTCAGGTATTCTGCTACGGTGACAGAAGGCTGACTAATGGAGAGAAGACAGAACGAAACCTTACAACTAAACCATGAAGACAACCCAGTTACAAAAGGACAAAGGACCCACAAAGACATTTTCCCAAATAACACAGATGGACAACAAACACATAAAAGGACACTCAGCACTGGGGAAACACAAATCAGAACCATAAGATACCATTTCACATCCACTAGGAAGGCTATAGCAAAAAAGTCAGAGGTCAGGTGGCGTGGCACACACCCGTTATCTCAACACACTGGGAGGCTGAGGCAGGAGTATTTCAAGAAGCTGAAAAGCTTCTGCAGTAGTGTGCAACTTCGTAATTTTAGGAAAACAGAGCTTTACTCCTGTCATAGCAGTGAAAGAGTTTGTAGTCAGAGGAAACAGTTTCACGGTCATTCTGTTATCTGGGCTGCTGGATCCTTCAATCCTTTAGTGAGGACCATTTATAGTACAGAGAGACATTGCTGGAGAGGGCCAAGGGCTCCTTCTAGGCTCACTGTAACCTGGATTCGGTTCTGCAAAGGAGCAATAGCAACCATCAGAAGACCCAGAAGGAAGCTACCGGGCGAGGCTTGGAACACTGCACCTCCTCATACCAACACCTGCTAACATCACCCCTAAGACATCCTAGCATCCAGCAGGGACAGCCTGGCTGTGCTGCTAGACAGCGCTGGCGAGGGGCTCTTCCCCAGGCAGCAGAGGAAATGACTGGTTCCTGACTGTCCTGTAACTCACACAACCCCCAGCAAGTGGTGAAGACAGCCCAGAACCAAGACTCTAAGACAGCACCAAGCCTCTCCAGATGGGCTCTCTGAGCTATAAATTAGCATCGATAATAGTTGTTTATAAACGGCTCCTCCTGGAGAGAAATAACAGCACTCCTAGGGGCTAAATGTTAGATTTTATGTTCCTCCTTTGGGATGTTCCAACTTCTTCATTTTGTAATATGCAGATGCAGTTTATTGGAGTGATTCATAAATTACTCAGAAATGCCGCTGTCTTTTGAAAGACTAGCTGTGAACTTTCTGGAACTGTGAAGTCACCATTGAAAGGTCTTTATTGAGGCTTTCAGAGAACTTCTGCTCTGGCGTATATCCGGTTGTGCCCCAAGCCTCATGTGCTCAGAGGCGGGGCTTCAGGAGGTGCCTGGATCATGGGTGTGATGCTCACCAGTGGATTCGATTAGCCCACAGATGATCTAGAGCTGAACAGGAGGTTGGGAGGTGAAGCCTGGAGAAGGCGGAGGCCCTTGGGGATGTGGCCTGGAAGGGTCTCTGCCCTCCTCCTCCCTTGATCTCTAAGGGGCATTGGGGGTTTCAGCATGGGGCTGGCGTTGGGCTGACACCCTGTTCCCTCCCGGGCCAGGCGCTGCAGTTGCTGCATCCCGTGTCCCCACCCCTGTTCCTCGAAGCTCCCTTGGCTGTACAAGGGGAGCTGGTGGAGGCAGGGCCTCCACACACACCCTCCCCAAGCCTCGGGCCAAGAGACTCCAGTAGGGTATCCCTGACACTAGGCTTCTCTTCCGTGAGTCCCTGTACCGCCTGTGCCCCTGGCCTCTACCTGGGAAGTCACCGCCCTGCCCACCCCAGAAGGGACAGGGGCAGCCGAATGCCCCTCTCCTGCTCCACTCACCTACGCAGTCCTTCCGGTTCCAGTGCAGCCGCCTGCCGGGCGGGCACACGCACTCGTAGCTGCCCTTGGTGTTGACGCAGCCCCGGTCGCAGTGCCCGTTGCTTATGCTGCACTCGTCCACATCTGGAAGCAGAGGCCCAAGTGAGGGCAGGAGGGAGGCTGGACCGAGCCGGGGCCACACCCAGGGCCGGCAGGGCTGGGAGACAGGAGGCGCTCAGACCTGACTCCAGCCCAACGCCACTGTGAGATGCAGACACACATGCCACGCGAGCACAGCACACGCAAGCACACAGGGGTGCAGGGCTCCTCAACTACAAATGCACCCCTTTTCCAGGGAACCTGGGAGTTTTCTGACTCTGAGCAGGAGCCCCAGCCTGGAGGAGGTGGCCCAGGCCCTGGGGCCCCAGCCTCAGTTTCCCTTCCTGTGAGTAGGTGCTAGTGTGAACACAGCCATCTCTGAGCCCTTCCTCCTCTGGTCGGGAGACCCACTGGCTCTCTGCATGGGCTCTGGACACTCAGGGCCCTGTGAACCAGCGGGGCAGCAGCCAGGAGGCCTGCAGGTTGAGGGCCCCCCTGGAAGAGTGCAGCCGTGCCCAGGAGACCCCAGCACCGCCGTGCCCACCTCCTGACCCCATGCCAGCTTCACACTTTCTGCCCGTGTGTGGCCAGGCCTGGTCACAGAGGTGACAAGAGCCAGGCCATCACCCGTTCCCACCTGCGCTGGGCACACTGGGACAGCACCAAGCCCCTGAGCTAAGCTCTGCCCTGAACACACCCACAACTTGGCACTCCGCCCCCACCCCAGCTCCAGGGCCGCAGCTCCCTTCCCAGGGCTGCCCGGATCCCGGATCCCTCTGTCCTACGGCCACAGAGCACCTTGCTGCCGCATCACTCCCTGTGCCGACCCTCAGGGGTTCCCCGGTGTTCCGGTCCAGAGCCCCCGCATGGCCTGCGTCCCTACCGCATCCCCTCGCTTCTGGGCCCCAGCAACGTAGGGGCCTCTGTCCCTCCAGTCCCTGTGCAGGGAGCCTGTGCTCAGAGGGTCCCTCTGGTCGCTTCCCCACCTTCTCTGGGAAGCTGCAGGCTCCACCTTCCCCGTCTCGGCTACTAGAAGAACACTTGGAACTTCTGTGTCCCCAAGCTGGCACGCAGCTCGCTGCCCCCTCCTCCCGGCCCTGCCGCCCTGTCCTCTGTCTTCCCTGCTTCCCTGTGGGTGACCCCCTGCCCAGCAGCCCCTCGCCTTGCTGAGGTCCCTCCCAGCCCCCCAGCCTGTCAAGGTCAGGGTTGGGGTGTGCAGTGTAGTGGCCATGCGGCCAGGCGCGTGCCTCGAGGGGGAGGTGGCCCTGGCGGGCGGGCTGCAGACCTCCGCAGTGGGTGGTCCCGTAGAGCGTGTAGCCGCGGTGACACAGGCATTGGAAGCTCCCGGGGGAGTTGATGCAGACGTGGTCGCAGGTCCGCTCGAAGGAGCACTCGTCGATGTCTGTGGGGGCGCAGGGGACGGAGTCGGGGGGCGTTTCTGGGCTGGGCGGGTGGCACAGCTGTCACTCCCAAGCACCCAGCCACACCCTTGTGTAGACAGACCCAGAGCCAACCCACAGCAGGTGTCACGCTCGCTGCAGCTGCTGCTCTACTTTCCATTTCCCCCACTGACTCGGCGTCAGGGTCAGCAGCCACCACACCTTTCCCGGAGGGGAGCATGGTGCAAAGATTTTGAGCAGAAGGGACGATTGTGACCCTGCTACTTTAACACCTGGCGCTCAGAGGCAATGGGGCGCGGCCCTGAACCCACTCCTGCCGGGAGAGAGCCACGAAACGCGCACGCGGGGCCTCTGGCTGCCCCGGCCTCTGAGCTGTAGGTCCCAGTCACGTCCAGCCATGTGGAGCTTTAATTATGGGAACCCCGCGGGAGCAGAACCAGCAGACGGCACCGCAAAAGTCTGCGGAAACGGAGCCCCTCCCGGGGCCCTCCCTTTGGGCTCTCGTCCTGCAGGGACGGCGCCATCGCCTGTTAACCCCTCTCCACAGGCCGTCCTCGAGGTTCCTGTGGCATCCACGCCAGCTGCTGGGCTTCTCCTGGGCTGGGATTCCTGGCGTGTGCCCAGCCCTTTCCACCCACCATCCTTGTTTCCAGCAGGTGCCCAGGGACCCTATGGGATGGTTGGAGGCGCTTGCAGTGTGCAAAGCCCTCCACCAGGTGGCAGCACCCCCTGGAGCTGGAGCTGTCAGGGCACCGCGGGAGGGGCAGGGAAGGCTGGTGTGGATCCTTCCCTGGGGACTCAGTTTCCCACCTACGAAGGGGACAGGTTGCACTAGACAGCTCCTAGAGTCATAAAGGACAGGTAAAGGACAAGAAGGCAGGAGTGCATGGCAAGTGGGAGAAGCACACTCATTCCTGCAGGCCCCGCCATATGCTCATGACCTCTCCCTCGACAAGTAACCCGGCCCCAGGTGGGCCGCCCGGGCCTGTGGCGCTCACCTTGGCACGTGCGCTCGTCCGTCAGCAGCTTGTAGCCCTTGCGGCAGCTGCACTCAAAGCTGCCCACGGTGTTGCGGCAGAAATGGTCGCAGCCGCCGTTGTTGACCAGGCACTCGTTGATGTCTGCGGGGTTGGGGCCGGGCGAGGGCGTGAGTCAGGCACCGGGTGGTCCTCCTCTCTGCCCTGCCTCGCCTGTCACCCAGGGCCCTGGGCTGACCTCGGGTCCCCGGCTGGGCGCAGGGCTGAGCGCAGGGCCTGCCTCCTGAGGTTGGGGGTCGGGGGATGGGGCTCTGGAGTCGTATCACAGAACACAGCACCGATACCCCCCACGTCAGGAGTGACAGCAGGACCACGACCGCCCACACCCAGGGAGGCAGCCTCCAGGCAGGGGCCACTTGAACCGCAGGGGACAAACTACTGTCCACTCCCAAAATGAGGTAAGAAGTGTCCCCACCACGCAGGACGTTGCCTGGATTACCAGGGTGCTGGTGCTCCGTCAGCCCTCAGCACACCTTTCAGAAAGTAGCCCTCATTGCCTGTTTGATGAGAAACTGAGGCTCAGAGAGGCAAAGTACCTGGCTCAGGAGGCATCAGCCCAAGTGTCCACCACCCGCCTCCAATCAGCAAGTAACGAGTGGCAGCTGCACCCTGAAGGTCCCTGGGCCCAGTCCCTCGTCATCCACGTGGATGGCCGGGAGCGGCTCCCTCGCAGCCTGACCCCTGCGAGTCCCTCTTCCCGCTCCTTCCCCTCATACTGCTCCTCTGGACCCCGGGCCAGCCTGGCATCTGTGGCATCAGAGGCCCGGATGAAGTTCCTCTTGGGGCCTGGCACCCCCTGCAGATAGGACTCCGCAGGAAGCCACAAAAAAGAGGTAACTTTCAGGCTGGGCTGGGCCTGGCTCGCATGGAAGATGGACAGACGTCCTCCCTGCTGGTCAGGGCCGCAGCTGCCACAGTGGTGTGCAGATCTGGCCCGTGTGCGCTGCCCAGCCTGTTGCCCCGGTGGACGGGAATGAAGTCACTCGCCTTACGACGGCGACTCTGACCTCAGCCGGGCCACTCACTGCTCTGTCACAGGCCCAGTAGGGATGGCAGCCCCGATGTCCTGGACCAGTGTTCCTGTGCAGTGTCCCCACCCATCTGACCTAAGCACACCTAGACATTAGCTACGGGATCAGGGGACCGCGTGACCTGGGGCGAGCCAAGCTGCCTCCCCGGCCTCCTCTGGGTGTGGTGTCAAGTCCTCCCTCAGGGTTGCCCGGGAGCTCTGCATCACAGACAGAGTGACAGGGCCAAGTGCAAGAGCGCACCTCGGCCAGCATCTCCCAGCACCCCACACTAGCACTGAGGCCACCACGGAAGCATAAAGTCCACTGTGGCCAGGTCCGGGGAGAGCTCAGGCATGGCCAGGTCCCTGCCCAGCCTGGGGATCACAGGAAGAGGGGGAAGTTTCTAGCTAGAAGCGGCAGGCAGGAGAGCAGGTGCCCATCTTACAGCTGCACCACCTGGGTGACCTCGGGCAGGGAGGGGGACCTCTGAGGCCTCAAGCTCCTGCAAACTGGCCTGCCAACCAGTGTCTTCCCTGGGAAGGCTGGCGGGATTAAAAGAGCCAACGCGCTAAGCGGGCAGGCCACCCTAGCGGCATCCTCAGCCCCAGGAACACCCGGGCCTTCCGACCTGCCACCCCTTCCCTATCTGAGCCAGTGGCCCGGGACTCCCATAGCAACCAGGGAAGCATGTTTACGAGCGGCCCAAGTTGGTGTGGCAGTGGGGAAGCCCTTCCTCCTCTCGAGCCCGGGGTGCGGGGCAGTGCCAGGCTCACATGGTCCTTCGACCTTCTGTGAGCTCCTTGGGGTACAACTTCTGCTACTTTTGCACATCCCCCTCCACCAGCTCCCACCTACCCTCCACAGGGCAGCCAGCATCACCAGCCACAGCAAATCCACGGTGTCCCCTATCTGCCCTTCTTGGCCTGCACCAGTGGCCACCTTGCCACTACTTCTTGACTAGTCACGAGGGCCTCGGGGACCACAGAGGGTGCAGCTGCTCCTGCCTGGCACCCCAGGACTCAGCAGGAGTGAGTGTGTGGGACTGACATACAGTAAGTTGGAGTGACCCCGGTCCATGGCAGGGACCTCTGGCCGAGTGGAGGAGGCCATGGAGGGGACGCTCATGTGCACCACCAGAGGGGCGGGGAGCATGGGCTTCATGAGTGGGGTGCTGGGGGATGGGGTGAGGCACAGGCACACATAGGACAACTGGGCCTCTCCTTCTGCCATCCCGCCAGGGCACAGCTCGGCAGCCTGGTGCCCTCTGGGTGAAGGGCATGGGGAGGAGCGCAGGGAGGGCAAGGGGCTCGGCTGGGGTCACCCTGTGGTGCCGGAAGGAGAAAAGGGATGTACTGGCAGGTGGAGGGTAGGCAAGGGCACCTTCATGCCACGCAGATACGATCCCACATGGGCCTGCCCAGCCTGGGGTCCTGGGGTGGAGGCGGGTTAGGGGCTCTCCCAGGGGGCTCTTTGGGGTGCTGGAGGAGGGGCTATTGGCCCCGAGAGAAATCGAGGCTCCAGCCCAGGAAGCCTCTCCTCTTGCAAGATGGCCACCTGCCCACGGCAAGCAGGATGCAGCCCCAACAGGAAGCTGAGGCCGCACAGCCCCCCCAGCCCACACTCCTGAAACAATCCCCTGGGCCGGTCCCCGAGGAGAGGCAAGACACCCGCCTGCCCCTCCTGCCTCCGCCCGCCTTGCGATCCTGCTGCGGAGGGCTTCCAGCTCTGGGTGTTCCAAGCTCCGTTACCCCAACCCCTCTGGTCACCTGTTTTGCTGCCGATGACTTTCTGGCTCCAGAAAACCCTGAACCTTTGAAATCACCACTTTGATCCTGCCTGGAGTCTCAGCAGGCCTGGAGGGTGGGCCCTCACTGGAGACCAACCCCCGGGCCTGGGCCTTGGGTCGCCAAGAATCCCCGGTGGCAGGGATTGTTCAGCCAAGGTCCCCGGCCTGGGGGTGCCTCTCTAGCCAGAGCTGGGGACCCTGAAGACAGCCACCCTGGGCTCCGGAGTGTTCATGGTAAGCAGCCCTAGGCGGGTTCGGGGAGCCTCGGGTTCAGGTACCCATGGAGAGCTAGAGATCTCCACTCTGATTTTTCAGCCGCTACCCAGTCTTAACACTGTCATCTTAGTCACATAGGAGGGGTGGAAGCTTCTTTACACGAGGGAGCCAGACACCGGGGAGGCCGGGGTGTGAGGGCCCTCGAGTGGTTCACCCCAGGCCGGGCTCCGTGTCCACAGATGAGCGCTGGCCACAGGCTGGGCAGGCCTCGCCTGGTGAAAGGGCCCGGTTGTCTCAAGAAGCACCTTGGGGCTCGGCCTGGGTGTCTCCTTTACCCCTCGGAAATGGAATTAGGGGATGAGTACCCCTCGGATACTGGAGTGGCAGCTGGAGGCAGCAGCAGGAGTCCCTCTCCCAGTTGCCCATCCTGGGCCACAGAATGCCCAGGCCCTTTCCTGCCCAGGCAGGTTGGCTCCTGGGGGAGAGTTCCAGACTCCAAACCCCCCTAGCCTTCCTCAGGGCTCAGCCCCAACTGCTCTTCTGCCCAGCTCAGCCTACTTCTGAGCCGGTGGTGAGGCCCGCGTCCCATGGTGGCGAGTGGCTGGCCCTGGGTGACATCATGGGGCCACGAGGCTCCCTTGCCAGTTGCTTCTGGCACCGGATCCATGTGGTGAGGACTAGGTGCCACCTGACTGCCCACGCACCTGGAACACACCAGGCTATTCATGGGCAGAGTGGTGGCCTTGGAGGGTTTTATTTTCAAATAAACAGGCTTCAGAAGGGCTGTTATTTTTGTCAACAGTCATCGGTTCTTCCCTGCAAGCTGGCGAGGTGGAGAGGCCATCGCTGTCTATTTTCACAGGCTTAAAAACAGTCTCCCTTGACCTATTTTTAAATCACCCTAAACCTCCGTTTTCAATCAATTCATTGACTGGACTTTGGCAGTTCTAGTCCTTTCCCCTTCCAGGCTCTGACCTGGTCAAGGTTAAAGGGGACCGGGAACGTCCCCGGGGCGTCATGCACCTCACTCCGTGCAGGGGCACGGCTGGTCCAGCGGCAGTGGCTGGTCCCCCTTCCGCCACCCGGCCCCGCTCCAGCGCTGTGTCACACTCAGCCAGCTCTCTGCTTCCCTACCTTCTGCAGCCCGTCACCCCAGGAGCACCTGGCAACCCCGTGGGTGCCAGGGAACCAGGCGGAAGATACGCTTCCACTTCCTCTCCTTGCAGAGGCTGACGGCCCCTCCCCTCCACCGTCCGTGCCTCAGTTTCCTCTCCAGCCTCCTTATTTTCTACGGCAGATGGAGGTTCCCCCGGCTCCTCATTCCTTCAGCTGAGAGTCTCTTGAAACTTTGGGGGACAATGGTGTACGACGACGCACGCCATGACACTCGCCAGCCCGGCGCCCCCTGGGCTGCTGAAAGCCCAGGAAATTCCGCGTGAGGACACCTCACTGTTTACCCTTGGGCAGCCAAATTCTTGGACATCAGAATCTTTTTGGCCCAGGAGCCAAATGATGTGCCTTGGAACCCGCATTTCCTGGAGCCCTGCCTGGGACCCGCCCGCCTGCTGACCTCCATGTGCCGTCCCCCATCCAGCTCAGCAGCTGGGCCCAGCTGGGCGATGGTGGGGGGCTGGCTTGGGCCAGGCCGGGTCCCTGTGCTGACCTTTGCATGTCTTCCCATCCGGCTGCAGCGTGAATCCGATGGGGCAGCTGCATCGCACGCCAGTGGCCGTGTCCTTGCACGTCCGGTCACAGCCTCCGTTATTTACAGCACACGTCTCTGGGGAGGAAAAGACACAGGCGCTCAGTGTCCTAGGGCAGAAGCTACCTTCTTCCCCCATCTGTGGGGAGACAGCCTAGGAGACGGGACCGGGTGCCCATTCTGGCGCTGATAATCTCGCTGTGGGACTCCAGGGACTCTGCGCAGCCTCTCTGAGCCTCAGGCTCCCCACCGGGAACAGGGGAGCGCGCGGCGGTGCCCCGGCTGCAGGGAGGCTGTGTGCTGAGGAGTGCTGTGGGAGCCGCAGGCGGCTCTGCCTGGCTGGAGGTCACGCCCATGGACTCATGATCCGTTCAGGGCCAGTGCTGAGGGGGCTGCCTGGGATCTAACCGCCCAGGCCCTGATCGCCCTGCCTGGACTCCGGCTCCAAAGACAATGGGTGGTTGCAGGTGGCAGCCAGGGCTCCCCCTCATCTCATTACAGAGTGGCTCTCGGCCCTGGCAGCCTGTGGAGCGGAGGGTCCTCGGGGCTGCGCTCTACCCGTCGCCTCGGGAGGCTCTCGGCCTCACATCTGTTCTCACTGAGCTGTGCGCAGGCAGCGTCTGGTTTTTGTCTGTTTGAAGGCTGTCTAGTGCTTTTTTCCCTTCTGCAAAATTCAAAGGGGCCGAGCGGCTGGGGGCACAAGGGAGGTCACCCTAGCCATCGCACGGTGCTCGTGACGCTCCGCAGGCCCGAAGGCCTGCAGAAGGCTGGCCGGGCCGGCTCGCAGGCGGGGCTGGCCCGGGGAAGCCGCGCCCCAGCCCTGGTCCTCACCACCTGGGTTTCTGCCTGAGCAGCTGGTGGGCAAACGCTGCCTGGTCAGGTCCCCCCCCCCACCCGCTCACTGTGGGGAAGCAAAGGGCGCCAGGTGCCCGTTTCTCGAAACCCGAGTTCCCTGCCGCCTCCACCTGGTGCCTGCCTCTGCTCCCTGCACGCTGCCCACGCAGGGCCCCTCCGCAAGGGGTTCAGGAATGGAGGGGATTCTCAGGGGCCAGCAGTCCCTACTGCTAATTAGATCAAATCCGCGGTGCCTTCCTTTGAACTTCATCTTGGAGGAGGGGTGCAGGGGGAGAGGAAGCCTGACCTCTCTCTCTGATGGCTGCCACATTGGGCACAGCTGGGGTTGCTAAAAGGTAACTCCTTCACCCTGACCCTCCCCAGCCCGGCTCAGCCTCCGCACAGACCTAGGGCTCCAGCTGGGGTGGGCGGTGGTGAGCGCCTCGGCAGCTGGGCCGTTTGCCCTGCTCTCACCCTCCTGTCTCCCTTGAAGGCCGCCCTTGGGGCCGTCTCCCGCTCTGCACCTGGGAAGCCAGGACAAGCCCTTCTTCCCTGCGAGCTGAAGGTCACACAGCTCCACATGAAAGCACCAAGGCAGCGGTCCAGGTGCTGGGAGTCCCGCCTTCTGCTCCCAGATGGGGAGATCCTGCCTCCCACCCTGAGCAGGGGTGATGTGCTATCTCCCCGAGAGCCCCTTTCTTGTGGGAGAGGGCAGAGACCCACCTGCCTGCTGGCCAGGTGTGGGGCTACGGCTCAGAGGCAGGGCGGGGGTGTTGGGGAGGAGGGGTGCCTGGGCCTCTCCTGGGTGCTGGAGAAATGGCCTGGCAGCCCCTCGCTCCCGCCCACCCATGGCCTTTGGATCCGACCGTCCAGAGCATTAAGGAGGCCTGGGGGACCTCAGCCGATCGAGGTCAGGGCAGGGCGTCAGCATGGATGGTCACCCCCTTTCTGAACCCTGTTCTAGACTCTGTCCTGCCCCGCTGGTTTTAAGTCTCCGTGTGCTGCCCCGCCAGTGGTTGTGCTTAAGCCTCAGGCTTGGAGCGAGGAGCTCTGAAGCCCTCAGCACCCGGGAGGAGCCCTGTGGGCTGTTCCTGGCTGCCGACCCCTGCCCCACAGCACCTCATCACAGCGGCCAACGCACGCCAGCAACGGTCACCTACGTCCTTCCCATGCCTCATGCTCCTGCCCTCAGCTGCCCGACAAGGAGCCCAGGGGTGCAGCCAGGAGCAGCACTGGAGGGACCTGCTAGGTCTGACCCTAACGCCCCAGCTCCCTGTGGACAGGGAGCCCCTGGCGGCCTTTAACCTGTCTCCAGCCAGCCCCAGCTCCAGGGCACCATGCAGCCACACAGGGGTCCACTGGCCATCACCGCATCTGCACCCCCGAATCCCAGGGCCCCTCCGCAAGGACTGTGCGCTGCTTCCTTAACACAGTCCGACTTCCACCCCTGCTCCTACCACTGTTCCCTGGCCCGGCCTCCCAGTCATCCCTTCTCTGGCCGCTGCCCCGTGCGGGGTGGCTGAGTGTCTTTGGGCCCTGGAGGCCTTCTCATGCCCAGCCCAGTGCTGGGCAAGGAGGTGTGGGTAGAGGGAGCAGCGGGCACCTTGCCTGTCCCCAGTCCTCTCTCTGGACCTTGGCAGGCTGTCCCTTGCCCAGGCTCCGGTACCTCCTCTACCATGCCAGGAGGGAGGGTGCTTCCCGCACAGCTCACCTGAGCTGTTGGTCCCAGGGTGGCAGACCAAAGAGCAACGCTGTGCCGCCTACCTAGGGCCTCCGCATTCACAGGACAGGTGGCCAGGGTGGGGTCCTGGGTGCTGCCGAGGGGGGCCCTTGCCTTTGGGGGCCATCAGCCTGGGCCACTGCCCAGTTTCCATCTCTGAAGGCCTCAAAAAGCAGCCTCATCTTTTTGTCCCCCAAGACTAGTGGTCACCCAACCTGGTGGTCAGACTCTCTCAGTCTCAGAGAGTCACAGAACAGCCCGGGCTCCTGTGCAGCGGTGTTTCAATTATGGGTCACCTGCAAGGAGCAGCGGGGGCTGCAGGGGGGCCTCTCCCCGCCCCTTCCTCCTCATGCAGCGGCCTTCGCTGGGTCCCAGCCCTTGTCCATCCCAGGGCCAAAGAGTGAGCTGGGGCTGGGAGACCAAGGTCTCTCCCAAAGCATGAGGTCAACCCTCATCCATGCTTGGGTCCAGCGACCAGAACTGCGGCCCTGGGGCTGAAAAGGGGAATCAGGCAGAGCTGAAGCTGAGGACCCTTTTGCGTTCTGAGAGCCCCATCTCTCCCTTTGTATCCCGTCTCCTGTAAGAGCTCCTAGTGCTCCTCCTAAAAGCTTCCTGCTCCTCCTGTGGCACGGCCTGCCCAGTTGGCAAAGCCCTGTCTCACCTGCTGGTCTCAGCGGGCCTCTCGCACCCAGGGGGACACTTCTGCAGGATGGACTGGGGCGCAGAGAAGCGGAATAATGTGGCCAGGCAGCAATGACGATGGATGAGGCCCATATGAGGTAAAATCCAAGAGCCCGTTTTCAGAAATTATTCAGGACTTCAGGACAGGACCAGCAGAGTGTTAAAGTAGCCATGGGGGCGCCCCCCCGGGGGTGGGGACCTGGTGACTCCATAGGGTGAGTGCTTCTGGGTCACATGCTACAGGGAGGGGCTGGCTTGTGACTCTCCAGGCTGACAAGTGAGTTGGACCAGGCTGGAGAGCTGCGGCTTGGGCCAGGGTGGCCCGAGAAACGGAGCTGAGTGACAGGGACGAAGGCAGGCCTGGGGCTGGCTGGGCTCTAAGGAGGAAGGGGAAAGTCCCAGATCAGGAAGCCCCCGGGAAGGATGCTCCCCTGGTCCCCGTGTTCCAGGCCAGGGCAGGGACAGGAGGCTGCCTAGTATCAGCCCCTCAAAAGGGCACTGTCCATGGGCACCACCTGGGCTCCAGCAGGGCCCTTGAGGGGGTTTTAGTCACTGTGTAGGTGGAGTATGGGGCTACAGGTCAGATAAATAGGCTCTGAGCACGGGCTGTGTGCTGGGAAAGCGCCCTCGCTTCCTGGGGTCTTGGGGTCCTGACGGGTCATGCTCTGGTGACAATGTCATGCACACCCTCCCTGCATGGCCCTCAAGTGACACAGGATATACCTGTGCTCTGCAAGCTGGTGTGACCACAACCCCAGGCCCACTCTCAGTTCTGTTTACTAGAACCCCTGGACATGGCCTCAGCACCAAAAATCTGCTGCCAATTCACCTGGCAATCCTCTGAACTGCTCAGACCGGGGGCTCTGACCCCTGGCGTGGAAATGTCCCTTCCTGTGGCCGTCTGCTCTTTGGCCACTCCCCCTCAGCACAGCTGAGTCAGGGCCCCCTCTGTCCTTCAGAGGCCCAGAGCGTGGGGGTGGCTATGCGAGGTGCTCAGTGACTGGACTGCTGAGCAGCGACCCGGGAAGAAGGACGAGAGGTGGGCACCGCGTCCCTGCCCTGCGTTGGGTCTGGCAGGTCTGCGGGGCGAGGGGCTCATTGGCTGAGTGGGGAGGGGCTCCAGGCTGCCCTGCATGGCCCTGCGGGTGCTCTGCACTCACCCAAAATGAAAACCAGCTGTGGGCCAGGGCCAGAAAGCCAGGCTTTGCTCCAAGGAGCCAGGGGACGCTGAGGAAATGACTGTCCCGTCCGGCTGTGGCTTTCCACCTACAGCGTGCCTGGGCCTCACTCAGGATCACCAGGAGTGGTGGGTCCTGCGTGGGCCCTGTGCCCTGCACCTGCTCTGTCCCTGCATGCTGGACCTGCAGGCACAGCTCGGGGCTGGCATCGCCGCCTGCCCTTGAGCCAGTGGAGGTGGCTGCGAAGTGTGACCACTGACTCTCCCCTGGCTCCCAATGCTGGGACAAAGGCCACTCTGCCTGGCATGGTCCTTACGTGGTGGCCCTGGCACCTCTTCCCCGAACTCCAGCCCTGCCATTAGTACCGGGTGCAGGACACACTGAACAGGGCTGTCCCTCAGCAAGGGGCAGGGGAGGGGGACCTGACCCATGCACCAGGTGCCTGTTCCCTGGTCCTAACCATGCTGCTGCTGCACCCTGCCGTCCCTAGCTGGCTGAATGCCCACTCTTGAGCAGTGGCTGCCAGAGGCGGGAGGCTTGGAGCATGGGGCTTCTCTGCCCATGGTGCTCGAAGACCACCCTCTGCTTCCTGGACTCTGCCTTGCTGCACACGGCCCAGGCCCTGTACTGACGGTGGCCTGCAGTGCAGATCTTCCATCCTGTAGGCCTCCGGCACCCCGAGACCGCCCTGCTCTGTGTGGTAAATGCCGGTTGTGTGAATGCTCAGAATGCTGCTGGGAGGGCCGCCTGGACCCGGGGGACCACACCTCACACGTCTGTGGCCAGAAGGGTGGAAGGCAACCCTAGGGCAGGGGTGACAGGAGTGGAGGCCAACTTCGGGAGAGGTTTGGTTTGCGGGTCTCTGCAGGACAGTGGAGGTTTTACATCAGAGCAGGTGGCAGGAGCATGGCCACCAGTGGCACGACTTCCTGCCCCGACTCCGGTCCCCACTCTGGGCACGAAAGCGTGCAGGCAGATAAGGTGCTGACAGAGCCTTCCCTTGAGCTGACCCTCAGCAGGGAGCTGGGGTGTGATCACATGCCTGTGCTACAGAGGCCCAGCAAAGAGGTAGAGCAAGGCGGCACAGCCGGCCAACAGCGGGCCCAGCGTGCTTCCTCTGTGCTGAGCTGCGGCCCTGGGAGGTGGGGTCAGACCCTTCTCTGCAGAACCCCCCACCAACAGCAGCTAGCGCCCACCCAGTGCGCCCGTGCCGGGAGCCATCTGCCTGCCCGGGAGGGCATGGGGTACAGAATTCCAGGGCCAGCCCGTGGCCCAGGCTGCTGCTGGCTAACCGTGTGGCCTCTGCAAAGGGGGCACAGCTGCCTGTCAGGGCTGGGGGAACCTGGGGGGATGTCCTGGACCCCCAGCCAGGGAGGCAGCACACTGCTAAAGTGAGAGCCGGGCAGAGGGCGGCTGGAGACATCAGGTGCCCAGGAAAGCGGGAAGCCCACCGTGGCCAGCACGGCCCATCTGTTCAGGACGTTCGGCTCCTGTGTGGAACACAGGACGCGTGGTCCCGGCTGGGCCGGCGAAGGGAGTGGGAGGGTGAGCTCTGCCTAAGGGAAGCCCCTCCTCACCCAGGTCGACCATCTACTCAGGCCCAGCGTGACTCCTTAAACTGTCCCCATCCTAGTTCCCAGAGCCTGGCCCCTGCAGGGCAAAAGGGTTTTGCAGATGGGATAAGGGCCTTGCGCTGGGGGCTCACCAAGGATTGCCTGGGTCTGCCCAGTGTGCTCACAAGGGTCCTTAAAACTGAGAGGGAGGCAGGGGGTGGGGAGAGGGTCTGGACTCTGGAGGAGGCTTGCAGGAAACAGCAAGGAGAGGGCCTGTCCTTGAGAGCCCCAGGCGAGGACACAGCCTGAGGACACTGGGGTGTCGGCCCAGAGGGCCCTGGGTCACATTCGTGAGCTGCCGCCTGTAATAAATCATGTTGCCTTACGCCTTGGGGATGGTGGGAATGCTCACAGCTGCCACAGGGAAGGAACGTACCACACCCTAAGGAAGCTCTGGGCAGAGGAGCCTGAGACGGGGCGCTGGCGAGTGTGACTCAGCCACTCGCCAGTCCTGCTGGAGGGGTCCGGGCCTGCGGGAGCCCGACCTGCACCCTTAGATGGGCCCCTGGCCGACATTCTGCATGGGAGATGTGCGGGACAGTGAACGCATCGCTCGAACTTTCCGATCCTAAGCTTCGAACGATGTTCATGGGGCTCTACTGCCGGCTCCGTGTTTGGGCCTCTTGCCTACCGGCACCTGCGAGGGGCTGTGTTCGGTGACGGGGCTGGTTACCGTGACGAGCGACGCTGGGTGCCACCGAGGACCCCGCAGGGGCACGGCCACCTGGCTCCTGGGAGGGTTTCTTTCTGTCCCCCTCTAGATGGCAAGGACAGCGTCTACCACTGGAGCCACCAGGCCAAAGCCACCTACTCTGGGAGCCCCGTGCACCCGCTGTGGCTTCCACCAGAGCACCCGAAACAGCCAGGACCTCCCGTTGTGAGGCTGCAGGCTTTAGTCAAGGCCGGGGCTGAGTCACTTCCGGTCTCTAAACTTGGGTCCCCTGGAGTCTCAACGCCACGGCTTGGGTGCAGGACGAGCAGGTGGCTCAGACACAGCCGAGCACCCAGCTTTGGTAGAAGCATCCACATGCTCTGCCCTTGCCCTGTCTTGGCGCTGGGGTGGCTCAGGGGTGTGGCAGCTGCTTAAATGACTTGCAGGTGTCTCAGGGCTGTGACCTCGGCAGTCCGGATACAAAGCGTTTCCGGAAGAGGCCCGAGCTCAGCTCAGAGCCACCACCTGCAGCCTGGCTGCCTCAGGGTCCCCAGGGGGCAGCATGTGGCCCTGGACACTATGGGGAGAGGAGGTTTCACGCTGGGCCTGCAGGACAAGTCTCTCCCAGTGTGCGGCCCCTGGGGAGTGCAGGGTGGGGTGGGTGCCCACGGAGGTCTGAATCCTGCCCTCTGCCTGAGTTCCCTCCTCTGCTCACTTCCTGCCCAGGCTGAAAACTGCCCCATCAATGCAGGGGACAGAGGGTCCTCAGGGTGGGGGAAGCCTGTGTGGCCATCTCAGCAGCCTTGGACCCAGGGCAGCCTCCCCCACCGCTACCCCAGGTCCTCACGTTGGTCCTCTGGGTGGGGTTGTGGGTATGGCCTGTGGGGCCAGGCGGCCCGGGGTCTGTTGTCAGTGTGTCAGCAGCCCCTTCTGTCTGTCCCGTCTCTCTCCCACCACAGGACCCAACAGGGCACCAGCTGCCCGCCGGCCCCGGGGTCCCCCAGCGTGATCTGCTGCTCTGTCCCACCCCATTCTGATCCCCTTTGCTGTCTCTGCAGCTCTCCACACAGGCCTGGCCCTGGACCTGATGCCCACTGCTCTGATCAGCACAGGGCAGGACAGGGGTGGTCACCTCCCCACTCTCCATCCCCTGCCTCTGTGAATGCAGTGGGGGGCAATCAAACCTCACCTGGGTCTACCAGGAAGGGCCTGAAGTCGACTTCTTACCACAGCAGCCCTCTGGGAGACAGGTACGAAGAACTGAGGACTCCTGAGCTGCGGGCTCCCTGGGGTCCCCAAGACCAGCTTCCCCGGATGCCCTAGGTGGGGTGAGAACTGGGCTGCTGGCCCCAGGAGCTGCAGGCAGGCCCACGGCAGAGGGAGCGCACAGGAGGTGGGGACGCAGGGGGAGCTGGCCGTCGTCTATTCCCTGGGGTCCCTGCTGATGCGGCATAGACCCCGGTCCGCATGGGCCCCACACTGCTCCTCTGGAAGGCCCAGGAGCAAGCAGGTGGCCGTATTCTGTGTTCCCCCCTTGCTGTCCAGGATCTCTGGGCCACTGACTGCAGTCATAGAAAGCCAGGACGGGAGCCCCGCCCCATCTGCTTAGTGCTTAGCCCCTTCCCGGGACAGGAAGCCCCTGCTCCCCCCGCCCTGCGCCCCAGCTGACAGCAGTGCCCATCATTCCTAAGGGAGGCTGAGAGCCAAGTTCTCAGACCCATGCCACCCACCTCCAGCCACCTTTCCAGGACGTCTACTGTGCTGGCTCATGTCTTCCTGCAGGGCTGGGGCTGCACCCGCTTGCTGGGGCCTGGGATGAGCCTCAAAGTCCACGCCTCTCCCACTTCTGGCAGCACTGTCCAGAGTGTGGGCAGCAGGCTTCACCCACCTGGCTGTGTGCCAGGCGCGGGCACTCAGAACACTGGCCTGGTGTTCTCACCGGAGAGGCGGGTGGCACCTGTCCTCCCAGCACTCGCTCAAGGGCTCACCAAGCCCTGCCAGCCAGGCTTCAAGCCTTCTCCCCAGCACAGGGCCACACCCCTCCCTGTGACCCTGCCCCCTTTCCTGCTTCCTCGCTGATGCCTGGGCCCTTGGAGGTCCACACAGGGACCCGGAAACTAGGTGACCTCTCTGGGACCTGCAACCTGACATTGACGATGGCCACATGGCCGGGCTCTTGGGGCTGAGCTCTGCGGAGTGGCATGTGGTCTTGGGCAGCGAGGGCACCAGGGAGCAGCATCGATCCCTTCCTCTGAGAAATGGGGACGGTACCATCCATCCCCACAGCTGCCAGGCTGGCGCGAGCCATCAGAGTGCCACCAAGAAGGCCGTGAGGATGCCCGGAGGCTGCCACTGTGCTCAGGCGACCCTGGCAGTCAGCCCAGCCCGCAGCTGGTGACCCCACGCCGTGGAACCACGAGGGACAGAGGAAGGCACGGAAGAGGGGGTGAGGGGGCGGCCTGCTTACACTCCCCCCCCCCCCGTCTGAGAGCAGCCATTTCTCTTCCTTCTCCTCCTCCCACCTGGCCCAGGGTCAGCCCTGTCTGCAGGCCCCGGTTACAGCTCCCTGCAAGGGGAGGAGACAGGGTGACCCCCGAACCCCTTCCCCCGAACCCGGGCCTCTCGGCTTCTGAGTCTCAGTGTGGCTCTGCGGGCCCTGGGGTCTAACTGGCCCCCATGGGTGTTTACTGAGGGGGCCTAGGGCGTGCATCTCCTCCCAGGCTCAGACCACTAGACAGGGGCGCTGGGATCTGTGCTACAGACACACAAGGAAACACACGTGTTTGATGGAGGTTAAAACTTTAAAAAGGAAAAAGTGAGTTCCCACCGGCAGTGGAGCCCCCCCGCACTCACGCACAGCACGTGTGACGGTGCACACGCAGGCACACGCCATGCCATGGGCACACCCACACACTCACGCCAGCCACACTCTCGCACGCACACAACAGCCACAGGCTCACGCACACACACACACACACACTCGTACCCACGCACACACAAAGGGCAGGTAGGACAAAGGAAGTGGAAGAAAAGTGTTACCCATGAGGAGCCGCCGTTTCACCCGCTTGTCCACATCAGCTACTGACGTGGCATTGAACTGAGAGCGCTCAATTGCAGCCTCATCCTTCTCTAAAACACAAGTAAGGGACAAACACGGAGCCGGTGGTTAATGAGCGCCCACTTCCCGCGGCCCCAGACAGCCAGCCTCCTGGCGAGGCGCGCACGGAGCCGCGCGCATGCAGGCCAGCGCGGCCTCCTAGCCCAGGCTACTCCCAGGAACCTCCAGGGCGAAGCGCAGAGGCAGCGAGGGTGGGGCGGGCGTGCAGGAGAGGGGGTGACCACACACGACCCGGGGCGCAGAAGGACACAGCGCCCCTGTGCAAACAGACAGAGGAGGGGGAGGGAGGACCGGCCTGCGGAGGCCACAGAAGCAGGTGGCACCGAGGAGCACGGACACGAGCGGTTACAGACCCCGCGGCTCAGGCCGGAGAGGCAGGCACAGGACAAGGCACAGGACAAGGGAGCAGGGCCGCGAGGTCCGGTGATGGATGTGCCGGGGACAGCAGGTGTCCTGTCCCAAGGACGGACGGGACAGTGTGTCGTTCATGCAAAATTAAGAACAAAATGCACAGAGGAAGACACACGAGCACATGACAATGGATCCCACTGAACAGACAGAAGAACCAGGGGTTGATTTGGGCAGTGCTGGTTGCCTGCTTGTCTAGAGCACCAGAGCTACACATTCAAGTGCTCTCGAGGGGTTGGGAGGGGGCCGTGGGCCTTTTAGGAGCGTTGGGAGAGCAGCGGCCCCACTGGCCGTGGAGTGGGGGTGTGAGGAACCTCCTGCGGGGGAGCTGTGAGGTCAGCTGGGTGGAGGGTCTGCCCAGCCGACAACGCAGACACACACTGTTCCCCTGCGACCCTGGCGGCAGTGAGCAGTCAGAAGAAAGGGTTCTCGTCCTGGCTGGGAGTGGAAACCACAGCAGCAGGGCTGGGAGCAGAATGGCTTCTAAGGAGAGGAGGGGAAAGCGCGGGCTTGGGAAGTTGCTTTGGGAAGCAGATCCAAGCAGGGGCTGTCATATGCAGCAGACGTTGAAAAATAAAAAATAAAAAATGAGAGAGGATGAGTCAGGAGGACACAGACATGAGGGGTTAGACACAGGCTGGGAGGTTTGTGCTGCAAACCCTCGGGTCCCGGGGCAGACGAGACAGGAGGGAGCCGGGTGGCTGGGAGAGGTGGGCAGGACAGCGGAGGGACAGAGGCCGAGGACAGGGGGTTCTAGATGGGATCAGGCTGCAATAGAGACACTGGTCTGAGACCCCGTTTGGCTTTTAATTTTGATTTTGATTGGTTGGTTGGTTTGGTTTTGGCTTTTGGCTCTGAAAATAATTAACGAGTGTCAGTTATCAGACAAGACAGGCAATCAGGGACCATCACCAGAGAAGCAGGAGGGATGAGAGATAAAACAAAATAAAAAATGGCTGTCTGAGAAAACAGACCACACAGAGGAAGGGACAACCACCGCAGGCAGCAGCACCCTGTGACGACAGCCCTGGGCCACGGGGTGGGGGGCACGGCCCTGGCACCCCACTCCCCGAGCCACGAGGGCGCAGTCCCAGGGGACGGAATGTGACAGCAACTCTGGGCCTCACGTGCCCGTACCTGCTCACCAACCCCTCTCTGTTACAGGAAAGTCCCTCAGGAGATGCCTCCTGGCTGACGAGTAGGAATGGGGCCTTTAAAAAGAAACAGCCGCGGTCCCTGTCACACAGGGGTTCCTAACGTGCCAGCCTTGAGCAGAAAGAAGAGGGCAGGCTGGGCACTAGCTCTGAAATTCCTCTTTTTCTCAGTCAAAAAAATTTGCTGTTAGTTTTGAATGGGAGAGAAAAAAAAAAAAAACTACGAGTGATTGCAGTATGAAATAATCACGCTTCAAGCCTTCCCTCGGAAATATGGTCCACACAGCAGGTGAGGTGATGGGGGGGGTCGCTGAGAAGGGACTTCAGGTGGCCAGGAAGTCCTTCAGCTCCGCACGAAGCAGCCAAAGCACCCACACCGCACCCAGGAAGGGCCACCCGCCGCTCACAGCATGTTCTGAGGAGCCCTGGGCGTGCCAGGCTGCCAGGGCACCCACAGAACTCACAGGTGATGCAGATTACATGAATCTGGCCCAGTGTTTTCCATGTCAGGAAACACTGGCATGAGCTTTAGAGCAGACCATTGCTTCTGAGGTTCACACCTTCCCCCTCCCCCAGCCCACCTACCCGCATGGAGGCTGGGCACGGCAGGATCCCCAGAGGGAACTTGTCCCTGGGACCCAGGAGAAGTCTCCACAGGTGCCGCCCATGGGGACACCTGCTAAGGCAATCTCCACTGTGGGGCCTTCCTAGGTTCCCTGCAGCCCCTTCCGGGAAACCGGGATGGGCAGGGAGCTGCCGACACAGCGCCGCATAGCGCCTACTCACCGATGCACGTCCGGCCGTCCGAGTGGAGGGCGTACTTCTGGTGGCAGCCGCACATGGGGCCCGTGTCTGTGTCCTCGCAGCTGTGCTGGCAGCCTCCGTTTCCATAGTTACAGGTTACTAGTTAGCCCAAAGTGTACATACGTGTGTATAAACAGAATGACAACAAGAGCGGTTAGTGTGCTGGTGGCGGTTGTTTCCTTTGGGGGTGGGTAGGGATAGGAAGGCCCAGTGGCCAGTGATAGGCACGGGAAGCCTGCGGTCACTGGGTCCCTCCCGGCCTCACATGGAGTGCTCTACACTACAGAGGAATGGGTTGCAGCCCGATGGGCTCCGGGCCATCACCCGGACAGCAGTAGGTCAGTTTTACCCTTCCCGGGTCACAAGACACTTTAGCACTGCTGGCTCAATGGGACAAATGTCTGTTAATATGGCTGACAGTCTGGGGAGCTGGGGATGTCCAGCCATCATTTGCACAGTTCTGCCGGAGCCCTGTGTGGAGGGCTGTCCCCACAGACTGCCACCATCCCTGGGTCCCAGCAGCCAGCCACCTCAAGCTCTAGCTCCTTACAGACCACTCTCCCAAAGCCCAGCAGGGTCCACACACAAGAACTTAGGCAAGTTCCTGCTGCTGGAGAGGCAGTGCTGACCGTGACCTGAATAAGCCATGTTACACAGCTGGCGCCCCCTGTGGCCTGGAGGACCTGGTGCCTTTCAGCCCACAACCTCAAGATGGTCCCCAACGTCAGTAACCCTGGGGTGGCTCCACAAAAAGAAGCCAGCTGTAAGTGGGAAAACTGTAAATTCAAGTTTATTAGAAAGAAATCCTGCTATCACTTGCGAGGCGGAGAGAGACAGCTAGAGGAGAACAAAGGTCTTTGTGGGACGGTCCCAGCTGCAGGGAGCCGTTGTCGTCTGTGTCACCCACACACCAGGGCTTCGAGGACGGCATGTCTTCTTGGAGGCCTTGCCTGTTGTCTATCATTGTGTCAACCCTCTTACTTTACTTGTTGAGTCTCAGTGATGGTTAAATACGCAAAACTTGATTTCAGGCCAACTGGGGTCAGGGGGGCCCCAAATTCCAAACCTGAGAGCTTGAAATAATCCCGATCTATTAAGGGATGGCCAACGGGCTAGCAGCAGAGGGAGGTCACTGGTGGCAGCTCCCAGGGGACACCCACATGTTACAGAACTGATGTCTCCAGCTGTCCTGGCCAGGCTCCCCTTCATGATGAAAGTGACACAGCAGCTCCTCCTGGCCACCTTCCTGTGTGTCAGTGGCCCCTTGGCCTTGGGTACTCCAGTCTCCACAGCAGGTAAGAATGGCTTGACAGGTCCAGACATCTACCCAGGGTCCCAGAGGCTCTAACATGGTCCACTTAATGTGACTTTTGATGCATCTGCGAAGATGACATCTCAAGGACCTGCACAATCTTCAGGAAACTGACTGGGCCCTCCTCTGCAGAAGTGTCTCTCTGCCTCGGCATGGTGGAGCCTGGTCTCCTCTCTGAAACAGCTCATTTCTGAGCATCAGGAGCCACAAGGAAGCTGAGGATCAGGAGCCGCAGATCCCAGGTGGGGCCCAGCCCAGGCTTACTGGGCAGCACAGGCCCCAGCGGAGTCCCCGTTTCAGAGTGGGCACGGGCGAGCTAAGGAGAAGGCAGCAGGAACGCCTCTGACTGTTCTTCCAAACTCTGTGCCGAGGGCTGGTTGTGCCTGAGAGTGACGCAGTCAGGCCCCCAGATCTCTCATGTGCTGTCTCCGCATGCAGAAGTGCCTGCCCCTGACTTGGGAAGCCAGAGGAAGGAGTAGAGGCCTCTATCTCGGAAGTGGGGCCGGCTCTGGAGGGCTCTGGGGGTTGGGCGTAGAACCCTACAGTCCCTCTGGCCCAGAAAGGCTAGCTAAGCCTCAGTCCCAGCCCAACCTGCAGTACTGTGACCTGAAGAGCTAGAGCAAAGGCCCCAATGCCAACTTTAGCCCTGCCTCACGAACTCCACAGAGGACTCCACACCAGACTAGCCGGGCAGTCCGTTCTGGTGAGGCCTCAGTGCGTAATCCTATTGGGCAGTCTACACCTTGGCAACACCCAGCACCCTCCAGCAGGGGGCGTACTGCTGGTCCTTAAACCGGCAAGCATCTCAGGCCAGAGATTAGCCCTTCTCTGACCAGGTGGTGGCTGGGCTGGGGTGAGGGCCTTAGCTGCTCTGACCAAGCTGTCCCCTCCTGAGATGCTCTCTGAGCAAGCTGTTTCCACACAGCATTTGTCCCCAGTGGATTTCAGAATCAGGTACACGCTGGTGCCCCTCAGGTCAGCTGGCAACCCTCTCTTCAATACCCACTCAGGCCCTGGCCCGGAGCAAGGCTCAGCGTGACTCGTGCTGGAGGAGCGAACGCACAAGCGCTCTCTTGTCTTGGGCCTTTCTCCTGTGGCCACCTAACAAGGAGGGCTGGGACACTGGCACTGGTGTTTTCTGTCCTGAAGGTGGCCACAGCAGGCAGTGTCTCGGCAGTTACAGAAATCCATCTGGGCTGGAGGTGAGGAGTCCCAGGGCCGCCTGTCTGTCCTGCCTTTCCACACCTGTATTTGCTGTCCCATGGGAAAGAGCCGGCAGCACAGAGCAAGGCTGTGCCCTCTGGGGCCAGAGCCGGGCACAGGGAGGCACTGAGGTACAGACGGGAGCTGGAGGGCCGCTTCCCAGAGGTGGGCTGTGTCTGGCGCTCGCGGGTCCCAGGGGCTTGGGGACTGCCGGAGGCTGGCCCGAGTGGGGAGATGTGTGGTGAACTGCCCCCGCCAGGGAGGGCTGGTGACAACACAGAGAGTCACCCTCACTAAGGCTGGTGAACAACACGGGCCCGCTGTCTTCGGCACAGAACGATGGAAGGAAAAACGACCACTTCTCTCGCGCCTGTTCTCATCGCCACCTCGGCAGTGCGGGCGAGGACCACGCTCTCCAGGGAGGACCCCAGCCAGATTCCTCCCGGACACTGCGGCACATCCGAGTGAGCTTGAGGAAGCCCTCGTCCCTGGCAGAGGCGGGACACGCTTCCTGCAGCCTGCTTCAGGTCTTAAACACCCAGGGCAGACGTGTGGCGGTGGGTGCCCTGCTCCCGACCAGCCAAGGCCGCAGCCCCTCCTCCCTCCTCGGGGATCACTGAGGTCAGTGTGGGCTGAGCAGGACCCTAGAGCCACCCTCCTGTGCCTCTTCATACTCTCCCGTCACCGAGGGCTTCACAGGCCTCCGAGGCACCTGGGCTTGCAGGTCTGTGCGCCCCAGCCCCCTACTTCCCCCGCGGACTGGGGCTCAGGGCCCACCCAGCCGTCATTCAGGAGAGCAGGACCCAGGCCCAGGTTCACACCGTCCCCAGCCCCCTCTCCGCCCCGCTCCCCACCCGACCCCCAGTACCCCGGTGGGACCCTCGACAAAGCAATGGCAGGAGACGCGTGGGGGTGCGACCCATTTGCCTCCATCTACCTACGTGTGCAGTCCTTCTGGTTTTGGGCAAGGTCAAAGCCGGGCCTGCAGTCGCAGGCCACCCCACCTTTGGGTGTCTCCCGGCAGATGTGGGCACAGCCGTGGTCTTTGTTCATGCAGTTCATACCCTCTGGGAAGAAAGACAAGAGAGGGGTTGGGGGCCAGGGAGAGAGGGGGAGAGGTAATTTCAGGCTGAAAAGAGATGGCCAACGAAGTGTCACAATCAAATGGACTCCGCTGCACACACCACAGGCACACAAACACCCACACCCCACATGCAGGCGTGCGCTGGCCGTCCACCTGGAGATCCCTCGGGGAGGTGGGCAGATCTAGCGCTCTGTGCGCTGTGCTGTAATGACACCCAGAGACCCAGAGGATAAAGCACCAGGCCCAGGTCAGGTGTCAGGGTGAGGGCTGTGGAAAAGCCCCTCCCCTACACAGCAGACTCGGTCTCCCCTGCCTGTCTGCCAAGTGGCTTAGACTGCTTTCCATTGACCCCGACTGATGTTTATCTTCCTGGTGATTTGTGAGGAGTTTCCAGAAGTTATGAGGTCAGGGGTCAAGTGAGAGGTTTCGGGTCACAAGTCCATCAAGAGGCCACAGGCAGATGAAAGGGATGGGCCGAGGTCTGGCAGCTCACCGGCTCTGTGACCTATCTTCCATCTCTGCCCTCCAGGATGGTACAGAGGGGAGAGGACCTTGTAGGTGGGTGAGCCCACAGAGAGACCTTTGTCCCAAGGAACACACTGGCCTCTTGCCCCAGGGGACAACTAGCTGAATCTTGGCCCTGGGCGTTGTAAACTCAGCCACATGGCAATGCAGTGTGGTGGTGCACGCCTGTAATCCCAGCACCGGGGAGGCTGAGGCAGGAGGGTCACCACAAGTTTGAGGCCAGCCTACAACACATAGGGAGGCCACCCCTAAAAAACAACAACAACAAAACAACAAAAAGAACCCAAGGTCCCTGGCAGCTCTGACACAGATGAAAGTCTAGGGATGGAGGTGTAGCTGGTAGCACGCAAGAGGCTGCAGGTTCCATCCCTACCTCTCCCTAAATCTGAAGTTGAAATAAACTCCCTGCAGTGGAAACGAATGGTGCATGAGCCTGCATTTTGCTTGGCACCGTAGCTCCTGGCTTTGCCAAATTTTACCACTCATATTATTTCTCCACCTTGGATCTTCTCATGTAGTTAAATCAAACTGCCGCACAGTGCAAGGTATAACCGATGCATAACCAATCAGCTCATGGCTAAACAAGCGAACTTTAATGCTGCCGCTCCTCACGGGAAGCTCCGAATCCACAGAGACCAAGCCTCTCCTCTCAGTTCTGCAAAGACTCAGTTCTGCACAGACAGGCGGGTGCTGACCCAGGTCTAACACTCGCAGGTGGGTGGAAGGCTCGTTTGCAGCACCCTCCAATTCCATGGTGCAAAGCCTCCCTCCCGCCCCAGCTGCTTCAAGCTACCACGGAGCCCTGAACCCACAGGACCCAGTGCTAGCGCCTGACAACTCAGACCTCCCTGAAGCTGTGTGGCTGGGACAACTGCAGCCTCCTGGAGCAGGTGTGCAACCCCAATCAGGACACCGAGGCAGAAGGGCAGGTATTTGATGACAGACAAGATGGCTTCTGATGCTTGGTGATGCCCCCTGCAGACCTGGGAAAGGGTCTTCCGCGCTAGGGCCCTGGCTGGGCCGAGCAGCCCGTCTTCCGAGGTAGCTTTCAGGAGAGGGACTTTCTTGGGCCACTGAGACACATTCAGCCTCTCCTTGGGTCTTCAGGGAAACTCTTGCCCTGGCCAGGACCTGGCCGGCAGGTGCCAACCACTCAGTGGCAGACTCAGCTCAGGGTGGCACTTTCTTCCCTGCTCAGGTGGCTTCTGCAGCTCCCTAGTGCTCTGGCTTCTTAGGGTGGTCCCACCCGCTCTGCCCCTCACCTGGTGCTCGTACTCCCTAGCCTGCAAGGCTGCACTGCCCGTGAACCCCACCCCTACCTACCCCTCCCCCTGGCATCTTCTCCGATCTTCCATAAACACATCCTAGGCCTGTCTAAACGCTACCAACTCTGCAAAGCATCCTGACTCCCGGATTATCCTTGCCATTTCCCCACGCCTCTGCCCCCCACCTCCCCGCCCCCGCCGTTCATTTCCCAGACCAGTCCTACAGCGGCCTGAGGGATCGGTGCTGTAAGCAGATCCGAGCTTCTTCCTAAGCAGGGAGGAGCCCAAGGCCCCACTTAGCTCAGGCTTGCACGTGATGAAGAAAGGGAGATTGCATTTCCATTTCCAGCCGAACAGTCACAATTTACGAGAAGCCCTGCTCATCATCACTGGCCATAAATTTGTCCCCCGGGAGCCGATGTGACCCTGAGCCTCAGACTACGGAGCATTAGGCGTTAGAAATCACGCCCCTTCCTCCCTCCGGGAGGACGCGCCATCTAACCATCTTGTTCTAGAGCATTTAGACTTTCAGAATACCCAAGATGCCGAGTTGCTGTTTGCTGGCAAAGGTGGATCTGGGAGAGGAAGCTAGCATTACTGTAGAATGCAGGGTCGACGGGGCACAAAGAGATGGAGCCCTGGGCCACAGCCGAAGGCCTCACCTGACTTCTCAGACAGCTGCCAGGGGGCCTCAAGCCCCTCAGTCTCTGTTCTTCTCTGCCCAGGGACAGCAGCCCCTCTCTGTCCGAATGAGGGCCAAGGACCATCAGTGCTGGTGGCTTTACACTCTTTCCATCCCTAACAGAGGGGAGCCCACAGAGCTCGGGGTCTGTGTTTGTGTGTTACACCTACCGATATCCGCCATACTGGAAAGCAATCCAAAGAAAACAACTAGACACTTATCACAGGTAAACAAAAAGAATATATTTTTACGCAAAATGATCTTTATGGAACCTTTGGCGTTTGGGTCCGAGAGGAGTATCCTTGCAGCTTTGCCAAGAGGCAGGGCGCAGGGCTGGCCTGAGTGATTCTGGGGCCTCCTGGAGGTAAAGGGCATCGAATGCCAGCACCTCTAGGGATCACTCCAAAGATGTTACAGCTGCCTGGCCTGGGGGTGGCCGGGGTCTCCTTTTCTGATCACAGGTCCTGGTCAGCCGCACTACTTCTGTGGCCACCGCCCTTGGGGACAGTACTGCTTCTGCCAGCCGGGGGCAGACTGGCAGCACCCCGGGAGGTCAGGGCCAGACAGTCCCCACTGCCCATGCCATCTGCCCATCTATATGAGAAAGCAAATGAGTCCCTGAGGTGCGGAGGGACTGTCCTGGACTCTGCACAGGACTGGGACCCAGGCTGTGGTGTCCCCCTCCCCGCTGCCCAGGGTCACTGTGGGGCGAAGATCCTGATTGGCAGCCAACAATTTCTGGGGTAAACAGAATTAGAGACCCAGCACAGAGCTGGCCAAGGCCACAGTGCCTGTTACTGCCAGTCCTCTAGGGACCAGAAAGCCTCTGCCCCTCACCTGCTCACCGAGCAGTGCACGGAAAGCCACACAGAGCGGCCAGTGCCAAGGCCTCGGACGCCCGGCCACGCCCACCACATAAGTGCAGCTCATAACGGGCTGGAGCCTCCGACCAGCCTGCTGCCTTCCCTGGGCCTCTGTCTTCCCGGCTATGGAATGGGGCAGTAGGAATTTACCTCCCAGGGCTGCTGGGAGGCTCACAGGAAGCAACTATATAACATGTAGCCCAGAGCTCTGTACAGAGTGGTTGTCACTGCAGCTCTAATGGGAACAGCCGCTCACATCACCGTCCTGGCAGGGGTGGGGACCCCGCAGGGGTCTGCTCTGCCTCCCAGGTTCCTGGAACCCGTCTGGCAATGGGTGAGGGCTCAGCGAAAGGTGGGTGAAAGAAAGAAGAACAGGGGAGAGAGTGAGGGAAAAGTGGGAGAGAAAGGAAAGAAGAGATGAATAGAGCCATCCCGTCTAAGAGCAGGTCGATCCCACTGGTACCTTAGACGGCCAGGTGGGTTTTGGAAATACTATTACGGGGTCCCTAACTCTGTGTTCTGTGAATGCAGCACTTCAGAAGCCGGATGCAGGGAATTCACAATATACCCTGAAGGCTCTGAGAAGTCGTGCAGTCCCCGCGGAACAGTCTCCTTCCCTGTCACTTCACACAGAGGCTTCCTCTGAGGCACAGTCCAGTGATGGACCCCTGTCCCCGACCTCTCCTCTGCATCTGCCCAGGGCAGGGAGCTAGGAGCAGGGAGGCAGCTCTGGGCTCAGCGCATCCGACCCCCTGGGCAGTTGGGGCCCGGCCCACCTGGCGCACCCAGAGCAACCCTCTGCGAGTTCAGGACTGACGCATCCTGCTCTACTACTTGCTCTCGGGGCCAACTACAAGAGCCACACCATACCCGGGCCCAGATACCAGGACAGGGTGCCGTCTGCCTGGAACTGCAAAGCCCTTCCCAGCAGCCTCGGTCCGCAGAGCGGGTGCTGGTCAGGTCGACGCTAATCGGATCCAACCCGAGTAAATCCAATTACGCTCTGTAAACCCCAACCGAGTGTCTCCTTGGTGCCCAGGGCGGGCGGAGGTGCAAGGAAGACAGAGGCTTTGCTGCGCCAGGGCCAGGTCCACACTCAGCCCTCTTGCTTCATTCTGTGTAAATCAGGGGTTCCAGGCCCCCCGGGGGAGGGAGCTGGGGTCTGAGGGGCGGACACTGCGGCTGAGGGACTGTACTCCAGCCGGCGGGAGCCCTGGAAGGCTGGCAGTAGGCAGAGACGTGAACAAGGCGGGAGGGTCTCCGGGTGTAGGGTGGAAGGGCCCAGAGGGACAGGGCTGCAGGCCAGGCCCAGGGAGGCTGTTGTACCACCCCCTGCGGGGACCAAGCAGCAGGTGGCAGGGCTGCGGCGGGGGCAGGGAGGGAGGTTGACGGGACGCAGGTCAGAACCTCTCCCCTGAGGTTTCTGGAAAGCACAATGCAGAGACTGGGTCCCGATGACACTCTTCACTCAGCGCTCACAAGCCTGACAAGCAGGTGCGGCCTTCAAAGGTGACCATGCAGGGCGGGTTAGCGTGGGGGAGGGCAGTGGTTGGCTACACAGAGGCCGGCCAGCTGGGAGCCCCTTCCTGTCCCCGTGGCCTTCCCTCATCCCACCTTCCGGACACTCTGACAGCCCTACAGCTCTTCC